CACACCTCTCAGTTGTTCACATTATATTGAAATTCAAGAGTCAAAATCAAAACTGGTAAGGAAAATTAATAATATTAGTAATTAATAGTAATTACTAAGCAGAGTAAACCTTTATCCATAAACAAAATAATCAAAGAGCAAATAAAATTTACCAAATTAAAGCAACCAAAGTAAATGTTTGTTACAAATCAACATCAGAATAAAAAGTTTAACATTCTGTGTACATTTGAAAAAAAAGGGGGATTGCAAATATACATTATATTGTCAAAGTAACAATTGACATTGGATTAACTTAACCTTCTGTGCTTGCTGTAACTATTAGATCTTTACCTTCAATTTACTTTAAGTATTAAAAGTTTGCAAAGTACAAAGTCAAAATTAACAAATGTCTCCCTCAAATTCATAGACCAGAATTATACCTTTTGATGCATTTCTGCTTGAAGCTGCTTCTCTATTTCTTTTCTATATTCATGAAGTTTTACTTCTAAAGATTCGTATTTCTGATGCTGGGGATAAGAGTCTGCAAACTGCTCATCAATCAGCTGAAGCTTCTCAGCTATAAAAAAGGCAACATATCCACCATACATAATAATATATTAACAAAAGCGTTCATATTATAATTCAAGAACTCCCAATTTATGCATAACTTGCACTGAAACCCTCATAGAAGGAGAATTAAGGCATGCATTTTACAATTATATTTCAACACATAACATTAACAGTCCATCTGTCATAGTTAAATGTCCAAGAAAACACCTGAGTGAACAAAAAAAAAGAAAAAAACTTAACAAGACTTTTGCCTTTTTTAAAGAAAACTCAGAAATTCCATTAATAGACATGACATTCACTTATTACTACTTCAGGCTATACATTTGAATAAGTAATAAAAGCATACCATTCATACAATACATAAATCCATACCATTTACCAATATGAAAGTATTTGGGGAGACTTGGTTGCACGGGCTACACTTACCAAGAGATTCTCTATAAGGAGGCACTGAGGTTGTCTGAGTTTCTGTGTTATGAGTTTCCTTATTTAGGTGATGCTCTGTAAGCCCAATTAAAATCTGCATAAGAAAACCTGGCAAGATCCAATAGATCAGTTAGTTCTCATTTCATAACAAAACTGAATTTGAGCCTGTAATTAACAAAGTAATTTTCAATGTACAAGAAAACCTATTTGATTTATAGAAAGAACAAGTATTTAAGTAAACTACTGTGGGTTCATTATAAGCATGCTCCAGTCCATCTCATTCAACAAAAGCTGTCCTTTTGGAATTTTTCCTCCCATCCATGTCTCTGTCTCTTTCACTCCCAAGGACAGTTGAGAGTGAAGATTATTACTACTTAATTATGACTACTTAATTACTACTACTTTAGGTTATATAGTATAGCTAGGTTTCATCATGCAGACATAAGAATTATTTCTTATTCAAAACAATAGAAAGTAAATTAAACCTGTAACTAGTTTTTGAAGTACATTCTGCAAGCTAATACTGTATTATAAACCTAACCCAAAATCTGAGTTTGCCAAAGGCAGTGTGAAAAGCTTCCAAAGAGTATTATATTTAATACCTGATTACAGATTTTTCTCATGTTTCTAATGTTCAAGTCATTTATTTCGCATGCGAATGTTAACACCTAATCCACACCACAAACAGGAGCTGGATAATCCTGAAATATAACATTCATCACCCTGGTGTACTGCAAGCTTCAAAATCCAACTGAATCTATATTATTCCATACCATCATGCACTCAAGAAATCTGAATTTTTATTGCTCACATCTTAACAAAAATGAAGTTAACACAATTATCCTTGTCTGCATCATATATAAACATCTTATACCTTTATTTTCCTTCTGGATTCCTGAAGTCTGTAAGAAAGAAAAGAAGTTTTAGCCAGTCTATTTTCATCACCACTGTAATTTAAGCTTATTTTCAAAATCAAAATAACTTTACCAGTGATTTGTAAAAACTGGATTTTGGGCTGATTCTCATTAAGTGAAGAAGGTCTTGCATAGTCCACAGCTTTAGGGAAAAGAAAGATCAGTTAGAAAAGGTTAATTAATTTAAAATAATTTCAAATATGTTAACAGGCTCCACTTTACAGTTGTACAATGTTTTCCATTCATGTAAGATCTATTTATCGTGTTGTAAAATCATTCACAGGTTGCTGTTCTAGTACCACATTTAGGTATCTCCCTTACTGAAGACATGCAGCAGCCAGTATGTAGCTTTATGATCAGCTGAAGCCCTGAAAAGAGATAGTTTTGTTTCCTCTCCACCCTAGATACACGCCCTCGCTACTTTCCTTGCCTCTTTTCTTGATTTATCATACAAGTCAGATGAGCTCACTAACCCAAATGGTAACTAACTACTCACCAGGCCAAGCAATTAATATTCAGTTAGAAACAACTTCACCCTATCACACACTTACAGAGAGGAAAGAAAGAAAAGGCAAGGACTGCTCTTTTCAGCCACACTTTGTAGTTAGAACAGCTTGAACTAACCATGACCACAGCTTCAGGGAACTGAACGGCCAAATAAGCTTTTACCAGGATCAGTTCCCCAAACACTGTGCCACACAGCCAGACTGTGGCTACTCTTTCCAGAACAGCATCGTTATGTTATTGCCAGCTTAAAGTACTCATGAAAATGGCCCTGAATAATGAAATGTTTTACAGAGATCATCAGAAGCTGTACTTGCGTTTGTATTTCCCTATCACAACGTTTTTTTCAATTGTTGGAATATGACAACCCACAGAAAGCAAAGCTCTTATACATCAGGGAATAGGTAAATTACTGAACTTACCTTCTTCTTCTCCAATCCACTTTCTGGAAAGAAAACTGAAAGTGAATACTCGTAGCCACATCTCTCTAGATGATCTGCCACCAGACTGTTGGAAGCTGTGATCAAAAGTGAACTGTCATTGCTTGGAACTGTCTGTGGCTGAAGTTCTCCACTCAAAATTGGGTGCATTAGTTCATGGATTAGCTGGTTTCGGAGCTGTGTCTGATACAAAAAAAACACTGTATTCTCAGTTTACATGTTACCCAACGAGAGTTTTCATTTTTCAAAATCCAGGGGGAGCCTCATTTTACTTGTGCAACCCACATAACAGAACGGAGCAGACTAATTTTGGCAAAATCTGGAAGTGCACTTGGGAAACCATGCCTTTCTTCAAAACACTCTTAACGGTGGATACAGTGATCTTTGACTTTCCCTCAATATGTATCAAATGTAGGACTGAAAAGAAATATTGTTCTCAGTCAAGAGCTCACACAAACACCACCCTATTACCCTAGCTTCATTTTCCAATCACTGCTTTCCTGTTCTCCTTCCCTCTGGCTTAAAGCCTGCCTGATGTGGCCTCAATTGCAGGTGTACTTGGAACGTTCACTAGTCCTCTTCTGAATTTCATATCAAGAAGCTGCTGCCATCACAAAAGAAGATGAGAAAATAAACAGAAAATTCAATATCTTTAATATCAATTATTTTGTAGGACAGCAAAAGGATACTAATCAAAAAAGCCTAGAGACATAATTAATAATAATTAAGTGGCATTTTTTCATTATATATTTGCATTCTATGAGTTACAATACAGAAAAAAAGTGACCTAAAATCAGAAAATCTCCCTCCTGCAAAAGGAAGAAATAATTATTTTCATTATATAGTTATACAAATTGTTTACGGCATACTAAAAGATCACGACAGAAACAGAGTTTTAAGCTTTCAACAGAAGGTATGCAGCCGTGACACAAAAAATAATACATTAGTGGAGAGAGTGAAGACACTTGTTTCGGCGGGGCTTTCACTGCTCTCAATGTTAAGCACTGTACAGCGGATCACGGGTAGCACACAAAGCACACCTTAAGTGTGTCCAGCACGCCTCGGCTCTTAAAAGTCTGATACAGCCTTTTCCGGAGCTCCTCTTGGGACAGCGCCTCCCTTTCAACCGAAGCCATCCTGCCCTACAACACCGTGGGGGGAGAAAAAGGGGCATTACTGACTCCCAGCTCGACCCACGGCCAGCAAGACGCCGAGCGCCGCCCCAGCTTCCCTCTACCCACAGGGAGGGCGCCGGGGCCGGGGAGCAGAGCCGGAGAGAGGAGCCAGGAGCGGGGCAGGGAAGCAGGGCCGGGGAGCCCAGGCCCAGAGAGCGGAGCCGGGGAGCGGGGCCGAGAAGTACCGCCGGGGAGCGGGGCCGGGAAGCACCGCCGGGTTCGCCCCGGTACGGCCGCGCTGGGGCGCCGGTGTGGGCGCAGCTCCGGAGGCCGCGGTGCCGTCACGGAGGCGCCGGATGGGGCGGGCGGAGCGCGGCGCTTCCGGGCGGCCGCGGGCAGCGGGGCGGATCATCGCGGCGAGGGGTGAGCGGCGGAGCCGGGCGGGACCCTGCGGTTCTTCCCCCGGGCGGGAGGCGGGACGGCTCATACCTACCGGGTAACTGCGGAATGCCCGCGGATGGGGCCGCGGGACTGCCCCACGGCCGCTGTGTGCGAGGGGGGACGGCGGCCCTTCCCCTTCCTGCTGCCCGTGGGCAGGGTCCGGGGAGACACGGGCGAGGAGGTTCCTCGGAGGTTCCTCGGAGGCGGTGCCCCGCGTTACTGCGTGGGATCGCCGCGTCCTGGGTGGCTGAGGGGGCTGTCAGGGGATAAATCATCGGTGAACGGTGCAGGAGGCCTTTGTAGGTACTAGTTAGTAGGTTCACTTCCAGGAGACGTTCAGCTTTCTAAGGGCATTTCCCCCCTTCCCCCAGAATCACAGAACGGGGAAGGTCGGAAGTGATCACAGTGGGTCGTCTGGTCCAGCCTCCCTGATCAGGCAGGGTCATCCCACAACATGTGGCACAGGATTACATTCGTATAATTCTTGAATATGTCCAGCGAGGGAGACTCCACAACCTCTCTGGGCAATCTGTTCCGTGCACAGTCACCCACACAGTAAAGAAGTTCTTCCTCATATTCGGGTGGAACTTCCTGTGCATCAGCTTCTGTCTGTTGCCTCATGTCCTGGTAGTGGCCACTACTGGGTCCATCCTCTTGATGTGCATACCTGAGTGTTTATCTCTCTTCAGCCTCTGGTAAATATGAACAGGAAGCATGTTGGCTAATTTTTAGGATAATTTCTACACAGACTATGTATAGACTTATCAGCATGTCTGTTTTTTCTTGTAAGGAGCACTATTTTGAAGAATGTCTGGAAGTTTCTACTTCGTGATAGTTGGTCATCATGATAATCCCATATTTGAAATGGAATTTCTACCTCCTGGAAAAGTAGAGTCTAAGGTGTGTTTTTTCCCCTATAACATTCCTATGATGTAATTACTGTGCATTTTATTTTATAATTTTACAGTGTATTAGAAATACAACCAGCACATTACTAGAAACACAACCAGCATGTATCTACTGTTTTCTGTTTGGTTGTTTTTTTTACCAGAAACTTTGTCATAGGGAGTAGAACTCTGGAGTTCTCAAGTCTCTTAAAAATCCTTACCAGATCATACTAGTTCTTCATAAAACACATCTTCCTTAACTATTTGCTGCTGTGTGTTATAGAATATATATCCTAGTTATGCTTTGGTAATTTCTCTTAGTGTGTAGAGGTTTCATAATAGCTGTTCATTATTTAATGCTACTTACTTTTAAGGCATCTATATACAGTAATAAGGTAAAGTAATGAACATAAATTTGAAAGCTCCTCAATTTTTTATGCTATAAAATATTTTTTAATCATCTTCACTAGTCCTACTTGCTTTTAAGTAAGACAAGCTTAAAACTTGTATTGATAAATAAAGACTTTGAAAACATGAGAAATGTAAGACTACTTGATCAGTAGTGTTTCCAGTGGGAAAAGAACAAATCTATCTGTAGTGATATTACATCAAAGAAAAAACAGACTTCAAAAAAAAAGTACGTGGATCTGTGAGTGTATCCAAAAGTGGAAGTGTGTGCTGTCACAGATTTGAACTGCATGGCATCATCTGTATTTTGAGCTAGTGTCTCATAAAAGATCATAAATAAGGCTACTCAGACTAGACTTAGTGTCAGGATGTGTCAGATTGTGGAAAAATTAATTTTCTGCATTCTGCTAATGGAAATAACTTGGCTCAGGTAACCCTCTTGTCTGACTGAGCTTGGAGTACTAATTTTGGTCCTAAGAGAGAACCTAAACTTGACGTGCACTGAAGGGGAATGAGCGGACATTGATATGTTTTAGCAACTATTACTGCTGTTTCTGAGACATGCCACTGCAGTGTGAATTCAGTGCCAATGCACAGCACCCTAAGGCAAGAGGTTTGCATAATGTGCGTGGTAAATCAGCAGAAGCTTTGCCCCTTTGACTTTGCTACCTAGTCTCTTCCTCAGTATCGCTTAGTGGAACTTGCAAAGCTGTTAATGGACTGAGCCATACCTGATTTGTGGGAAAAACTGGGAGGTGAGAATGGCAGTAACAGGATCCCTGTATTATGAGACACAGTGCAAAACTACTTATTTTTCCAGTCTAATAAATCTTACAGTATAGTTTTGTTCTGTATCTCTTCTTGGCAGATGTCTTCTGGTGTTCTAGGTCTTTGCCTACACAGCTTTTTAGTGATAGGGCCAAACACTGATCACTTTTATGAAGGCCATTGATGTTTGTTATAGGAAGAGATGCAATTTACTTCTGTAAGCACTACTAAGCATTAATACTAGTTGCAGGATGTTTTTCTGCACTAGGTTTTAGGAAAAAGAAGACCCCCAGAACAATAAAACAATCCTGTTTCTAGGTAAATAACATGAAAGGAACAGAATCTTTTGGTGATATTATCAGTATACCTGTCCTCTCTATGTTTCAGCTTTCCCCATCTATCCCCCAGATTTTACACATTGTTCAGTTTCTGCCAGATTTGCCAACAGAAACGTTACAGTCCAAAAACCGCTACACTGGTGTAAATGTCAGCACAAATAGGTGTCTGGAAGGAAGAGAAAAGTACATACCAGGACTCTCTTGTGGAATGATTTAGCAGTGGGAGTTTACCTACTGGTAAACAAAAGAATTCATGCTTGAATTCATTCCTGAGTGATAAATACAGGCTTTCTTGGTTTTTCTGCTCTCAAGACTGGTTTTGTGATGACCAGTGTTTTTGTGATATTATTATGATCTTTTTTCTCCCTTGAATCGTGACAATATATATTTGTTTAATTTAATTACAGGATGGCACACGTGGCAGAAAAGCAGGGTATATGTAACTTTATGTAACTTGAGCATGAGTTGTTTAGCAACTTGAGCAAATTATTGTTTATATTTCACTCCTTTCACTGAATTACTAATCCTCTGTCTTCTGGGAATACATTAGGATGATCATCGTCATCTCAACCAGTTCATTGCCCATGCTGCTCTTGACCTAGTGGATGAGAACATGTGGCTTTCTAACAACATGTATTTGAAGACCGTGGACAAGTTTAATGAATGGTTTGTTTCTGCTTTTGTCACAGCTGGACATATCCTTCCCTATTCTCTACCCTTATATTTCTATAGGAAAAGCTTTTTCCCAGAATGACGTAAAATGAACAGATTTTCTCTGGCTATTAGCTGTTATTGTTCGAGAGAGTCACCAGCTTCAGGAAGAAATGTGTTGGGAGGCACAGCAGCTGTTTCAAACTGGGAACAATTGGAAAGGTGGATTTTTACTTTTGGAGCAGCTGAAATATCCTAATGAAGTGTGGAACTCACATGGAGTAGAGGAAAAGTATGAGAGGGTCTAAGCAAAGCTCATATGATTCTCTGTTCCAACCCCTTGATTGTGCTAGAGAGGAGAGGTGGGGATGAACACGCTTCATGTCAATCACACCAGTCATAAAAATGCAGCATCAAGGCTTGATCTTATGTACAGGTAGTCCTAAAAGTGTTTGTGGAGGAACATTTGTTATACATAGCAAGTAACATTGAATGTAATTTTAACTTTGGGGTTTATGGTAAAGGTTCAGAGAGCATCATCCACATTCAGAAATATAGCTTTAGAAAGAACAACCTTGAATAGAGTGGTGATTATTTTCAAATAGGGGAATTTTAAAATTTAAAGGTAATGCTTTTTAAGTGTCACTGCTTCAGTTACTTCTTTAAATGTTTCCTCCTGTGAGTCACTGCTGTTTCATGTACAGCTAAACATATTAAGTGTATTAAGCAGAATTAGGTGTAAATGCTTATCTCAGGGTATGTTACATATCTCTTCTTGAAAGTTCTGTTTTCCTTAATTGCTGTACATATGAGATTTATAATGCTTCATGATGTAAGGCTAGAAGATGGAATTAAGAACTTCTTTAATGATGTATATGAGTTGTACATAAAGGTAAGAACCCATTTCTTATGGTCTTGCTGCAGTACTTTTAAGCGTGTTCTACTGTACATGGTCAGGCACACGTGTTTTAGCATGTTTTCTCATGGGGGCCTGTGTAAGTGGAGAAGCACCTGTCCACATCAGCCAGAGTTGGTAATAATATGTGACACAACATGCTTTGTTTTGCATTAAACTGAATAGATTTTTCTAAATTGTTATAAACTGTGCTCTTTCAGAATTTACTCTTCATTATAGTCTAGTGCTTTTTCATGGAGTAGAATGGTTTGGGTTGAAAGAGACCTTAAAAAATCATCTCATTCCAACCCCCTGCCATGGGCAGGGATACCTTCCACAAGACAGGTTGCTCAAAGCCCCACCAACCTGACCTTGAACGGTTCTAGGGATGGGGCATCCACAGCTTCTCTGGGCAACAGAGAAGTTGGGAGGCAACTTCTCTTGATGCATTTTGTGGCAGTGTTGTGTCATTAATAGTGATAATAAAAGGAAAGGACTGTTCTACAGAGCCTGGTGGCAGTGCTTCACTCTCAGAACACGTAGCCCTGTTCTCACATCCCAGCGTCATTTCCACTAGATGGGATAATGGCAAAGTGTCATGGGAAGCATCATTATCTCAGTCTCCTGCAGGCACTCAAATGATGCTAATTTCCAAGAGAAATTTCAGCTGGTGTTGTGATGGATTTGTTCTGAGGAGCTGGTGCTAGGGGATAGCTCTGCACGTACATGGGGAGAATGCAAGGGCCTGGAAAGAAGGGACTGTTTAGGAGTTCTGTGCTCTTAGTGGCACAAAATAGGCCAAAAGCTAGTAGTAGATTTCACCTGAAGTGACATTTTCCAGGGCTGGATTTGTGCTTATTGATAAGTTTTTCTTCTTTCCCCAGTTTGCAATGAATCCATTTTATGAACTCAATTCCCCTATTCGATCTACTGCCTTTGAAAGGAAAGTCCAGTTCCTTGGGAAGAAACATCTTTTAAGCTGAATAAATAAATTTGCTGAGTGAGTGTTTTTTCCATACATTCCTGACTTTTTGAACTGTTACTCTTCTGGTTAGTTCCCTGCATGTTTGATATTCATCTTCTGAAGACTGACAAATTGGGTGCTGAAGGAGCTTTTATGTCGTATGAAGAAGTTTTAAAATGTTAGAGGCTGCGCAGGTACAAACTGAGACATTTGGGTGTCAATACATATGCAAAGTGTAAGCCTCTTACACAGGGTGGGAGGAAATCAGATCTAAATGCAAAAGATGTCTCCAGCCATCTGATTTAGTATGAGTAAATGGGAATTCTTGACTGTTTGGCCTAAGTGGTTAATTTTGTTATGAACTTTGCTACTTGCATTCCTTCACTAGAAAACTTACTCTGCAAACTAACCAGACTAACTTCACACTTTGTGATAGTAAATCAGATCTATTTATTAATGTGTAATTGTGTGTATATAAAGTGCTCAATAAAAATAAGAGGATAGATAGAAAAGCTGTCTCCAGTATTTCGAGAAGCTTTGAGAAAAAAACTTAAAAGTTTAAAAGCTTATAATTTCAAATTCACCATATGTGTAGTGCAGTACATGTTTAGCTGCAGTATTGCATCAATGAAAGGAAGTAGACCAGAACAGCCATGTCTGCCCTAACATTAATTATAATTCACACACAAAACCCCTAAACTAAATTTACATGTTTAAACCCACTTCTTTCCATTACTTTTCAAGTGCTGGAAACTTTCTTTTTGCAAATGTATTTAGAGTAGGATCTCTGAACCATGAAACTCCATTTGTTGAGGTTTCAGAAAGGCATTATTTGGCCCGTCTGGCTCCTATTCCATTGTAAAACGTGTTAGGGACCCTTTTGCAAAACCTACCATCATTCCAAACCAGTAATTTTTAATATGCCATATATGTACCTAATATTTTGTTTAGGTTTACAATCCTTTGGGTATTCTGTTCCTTTTTGCAGCAAACCTGTGTAAGCTATCTTCTTGCACTTTTTTTTTAAATGTCTGAAAAGTAATTTCCAAAGGAAGTGACATGGTGTTCTAAGAAGTACATTTTGCATAGTCTGTATAATTAAAGGGACCACGTGTATGTGCTATATGTACAGTCAGTCATTATTTCTACACTTACTGCTACACTGTCACTGTAAAATATACCACGAGAAAAAAAAGAACATGATACAAAGATTGAAATATTTACCTTAAATAAAACATGGAATTATGCAGTATGTATGTGTGTTGAGTATACCTGAAGTGCTTTAGAAGAAAACTAGACAACCGTGGTAACATTACCTGGTGGGGTGGCAGATGAAGATGGGAACACTTGTCTTTGCAATGTTATTTCATACACAGGGCATTTTGGTAAACCATGTAATTTTATATAAGTCAACTGATTTTTATTTTTTTCTATATAAATGAAAGCAACAGAAGCACACTTGAGGTAAAGCATTCTTGCCATATGACAAGGAGCAGCTGTTGTTTTCTGCCTCCTCCCCAGTAGGTTAGAAACATTCTTCCAGCTGGTTGTAAAAATATTAACAGTTAAGATCCACTGAGGAGGTACTTAAGTTAAATAATCACATACATAGCAGTAAAAAAGGGCTTGGCAGGGGTGGAGGATTAGTACTAACAGTTTCCATCACTTACAGAAACTGTGCATTTTTTAATAACTTTATTCGTTGCTGCAGTAGGACATGAAGTAAAATGAAAGTACTTTTTTCCTTGCCTGATCTCTGAAGGCAGTTAGTCAAATGGTGCCCCAATACATCTTTCCCTCTTCTGAATATAGGAATTGTAGATGGGAAATGCAGTCTCAGGTCAATCTAGGCTTTATGAAAACAGACCATTACTGACCACAGGAACGGTAGAATTATGTTCTAACTCTACATTTATCATTATAGAGTTTGCGGTCGAGGAGCATTGTCTTGTGACAGAACTCTCTAAGGCCTTTGCCAGGTAGCTCCAAGTTTTCTGTGCATGGAGGAACACCTGTTTATGCTTTTTACAAGGTTCTATTACTGTTTAGGTAACCTGTCATATAACTTAAAGGAAGATCTGTTCAAGGTACAGAGAGGCCATTGAAGGAAGCAGCCTGGTTCTGGCAGCAGTCTCATGCTAAGCACTAATACAGTTTGCTGTGACATGAGCTCTCAGCTGCCCTGGCTAGTTTCTTCTTCCCCTTCCCATTCTGCTGTCTGTTCTAACAAGCATAGCTTTCAGCAGTCCCACCAATCCGCCACAACACTATTTTTTGCTCCTCATTTTCAAGGACATCTGGAACTTTGCATACGTGTTATGCAGTATGTTGTGTCACTCTACAGAACTCTAAATAACTGCTAACAGGACCCCCTAATATTTGAGGTACATCAGCACTTGAAACAAAACAGTGAATTGAAACATAAGCCACAAATGCCTACCTTACACCCAAATGGAACAATACTGAGCTTTTACAAAGTACAGAAATGAATGGTTGTTATTAAGCTTTTTTTTTTTTTTTTTTTTGGTATGTAGAACTGCTTGTCAGTAGTCTCCCTGTGAGACCAATTCCTGACCTCAATGTAGTTCCTATAATTACTACAGCCACTTTTGATTAGTGTACTGTTGTGGTAAAACAGCTCCCAGGGCATAAGTAATACACTTCTATGGGATGATGTTTTATTTAACTTTATTAAGCCTAATTCTCAGATGGAGGCTTGGTAACCATGATGTTACGTGGAAAGGGGACAGATGGGAAGACACAGATGGATGCCTGGGCACAAGAAAGACCACAGTGGTTCTCATCATTCAAATAAAATTGCTAAAAGGAAAAAATTAAGGATATCTACAGTCATATACTCTAGTCACAGTATCTTCAGCTCCTATTTTGTTTCAACCTTAAGCTCTGCTAAAATGAATGTTAAAGGAAGCGTTTAGTAGTAAGGTAGTAGTTGTACAACAATTTCATGTCACTGGCTTAGTGGCCCCTAATGCAAACAACCTTCATTTCTAAAGCTTTTTGTTCTCTCATACTAAGATTAGGAGCCATTTAGCTACGATTTTCTTCACAGATCATTCATTGACTAGAAATTAAACATAACAGAAGTAGCAGTTCAACCTGTATTTAGCTGCTCAGTGACTGAAGCTTAAAACACAGTTCTGTTGCTGTATATGCAGGACTGCAAGAATGAATCAGCCTTAGAAATGCACAAAAGGTAAGATGATGTCACTTTTAAGCAGGAGTAGCAGATCTACAGAGTAAAGTTGCACTGGACAAGTTCAATCAAGAATACAATACATTCAGAAAAGTGTACTAAGAGTGACAAGGAGGGTTTGTTTTTGCAAGCTTTACTTCCAAATAAGTACACCTGGTACAGACTGATCAGATACTTCAAGAGAAAATGCTTGCTGGTATCATACTCTCAAGAAAGGCTTTTCTATTGGAACAAAAAAGTTGCTGTACAGAAAGCAGTTGTGTAATGAATAACATGGCCTGTCCTACAGGCCTCAGACTTCCTTTTTCAGTCCACAACATGTGTACATGTGTGCCTCTTAGCAGTCAATTCCAGATAGAAGCAACAGTGCACTATCAGTTTTGCTACTGCAAGGACAGTGGTTACTCTGAGGGCCAATATTGAACAATTTCTCACAGAAGTATTCTATCACAAACTGCAACTGAAAGCCTCAAATACATTTTCTGTGGTTTTGTCTGCATGACTGCAAAAAAGACTTCATTAAATACAGAATTTGCTCCTGTTCGTCATTATGAGTTCAATAATAAAAAAGATATTATCTTAAATGTACAAGTCCATATCCTAAAATAGCAATTTAAATAAGGATCAAATTCAGCTCAAACACTATCTATAGTTATATACTTGTATTACACTGAACGCTGTCAAAATCCACTGTAAGCTTCCTGAGTTCTCTACATATTGCCAATCCTTAGTTTCACAGTGCAGGTTATTACTGGTCAACACATTCATAGCTCAGGTTAATAGGAACAAGAGGTTTGGAACATTAAGGCTGTACACTAAAAATTTTCCTAAAAAATGTCATAATGTGGATCCTTTCAAGTGCTGTTAAAGCTGACTGAATAAAGCATTTCTTTTTCGAAAAATGTTTATACTTAAGTTACTCAGATTTTTCACCTTATTAATCAGAAATGCCAGAATGGACTTAAGGCAGACACATTAGCTTTAAAAATCATCAGTATTTTGAATTAAACTGCTGGAAAAATTAGTGCAGCATTAGAAGAGTAAATGAAAAGAAAATGAACACTGAATCTGTAGGAAATTTATTTCCTACTTAAAAACCTACACAAATTACAGCAACATTAGGCAATTAGAAGACCTGGAGGTAATTTATGTTAACTTATATTAAACACTTTAGAGATGAAGTACCACTCACAGCAAAAGGAATGTAGTGAGACTGAAGTTTAATATCTAGCATTGTTAAGAATCTGATGTCTAATGAAACAAAAGTGGAATGCTGATTTCATAAAAATATACACATATAAAAGTATCTTTGTGCCTGAATTCCAGAACAGTTTCTCCAAAGTAGTGCTTCCAGAACTTTCAAGTTTTAATTATATTCAAAGTATTTATCATTTGAGTAAAGTTGGCAAATTACATTCTTATATTATGTTTTTACTTGACATCTTCCTAAACAGAAAGTGTCACTAATTCAGTAACAGGTCACTCATGAATGGAGATTTTTTTTCCTCCCCCATGAAAGCAGCAGAATATTACAATTTTAATATTAGAGTGAAACCCACTTGTTATTTTATCTACTACACCTTCCCAATTAATTTATAGAGCAAGCTAGTCAACAGTAATTTGGCAAAAAGAAATTTAAGTCAACAACAAGATGAACTGGGTTTCGGTTTCCGATGAAGGTTTACTGTATCTGTTTGAATAAAGTGATCTGATCTATCTTCAGAGGCTAGAACTCTTCTAACAGCTTCTTCAAAGGCTGCTGCAACATTAGTGGCATCTTTTGCACTGGTTTCAAAATAGGGATGGTTGCCATTATTCCTGCACCAGTCTTGGGCTTCTTCTGTAGACACTTGCCTTTCATCAATATCAACTTTGTTACCCAGTATCACAAAAGGGAAGCTTTCAGGCTCCTTGACGTCTGCATAGTAAATGAATTCCTTCTTCCAGTTGCTTAAGTTTTGGAAGCTTTGAGAGTCATCCACGCTGAAGGTTAGCAGGCAACAGTCAGAACCTCTATAGAAAGGAGTCCGCAAGCTCCTAAATCGTTCCTGACCTGCTGTGTCCCATATCTGCATTGTAACAAAATGTCCATCGACTTCCAACTCTTTATTTAAGAATTCCACACCTATTGTATGAAACAACTGTGCATCAAATTTGTTGGTGACATATCTGTTCATCAGCGAACTCTTTCCAACTCCACCATCTCCCAGCAATATTACTTTAAGGAGTGATGATTTTGCTGCCATTGTTAGAGGAAGAGATCCTCCTGATTTCCTAGACCTGTAAAGATTAAGAAAATCATTAAAAACAAAAGTTGTGAGCAGCAAATTTTGCACACAGAAATATCTAGAACATGTTAAAGTCCACCAACATCAAGTTTCATGTACAAAAGCACGATACACTAAATGGGTAAAGTCTAGATACTCCACTAAGAATACCCTCTCAAAAACAGCGTGTATAAGAGATGCCTCTTACACAGACTGCACTCTGTATGGCAGTCTAAACAGTACACTGCATGAATTACTGGTCTGTCACTTAAAACACTTAAAAGCCCCAAACTCTTCAAATCACCTCCCCTTTGTGCAGAAGGGGTATCACATCACATTCAACAAGTGCAATGATTAATTTATGTTCACTGGAAAAGATCCATGAAAAAAAAAGCAGAGTGAGAGAACTTTATAGAGCACATGCCTTGAACTAATAACTTCAGTGCTGCATTTCATTAGCAAAGTTAATCTAAACTAACTCACTGGGAACACAGTTATCTATAGAACAAATGCAAATGCTGTAAGTTTATTTTAAGTCACGTGACTAGGTATCAGCAGACAAACATTCAATATTTTATAGTTTACTCCTTGCACAACAGCATTGATGAATGGAACACTATTACAACTACAAAAGCAAATTCACTGTTGCTACTTCAATGGTACTCAAGATGCCAGATTACTGAGGCCAAGTCTACACTGACAGTTCAGTTAGTAGGTGTCAACTTCCCATAGTAAAACTGTCAAAAAGTCTGGAAGTGCTGGTGAATAGTCTGGCTGCCAGCACACTGTCAGACTTAAAAGATAAATTTAAAAAAAACACAAAACCTCTAGCATTAAAGTACTTTGCTCATTAGTGCTTTGTAGCAGCCCAACCTTTGCCATCACTGCCACAGTGTTTATCTAATATTGTAAAATGGTGTTTTAATTGCTTGGGGCTAAAGTTTCATTTGAATGAGCCCAAACTTAAGTTTCTGTACAAGGAGAACTGGTGTTCCTAAACCTGCCTGATAGTAAAAGAGCTCAAAGTATTCAGCCCAAACAGGCTTCTCTGAAAATAGCACCTATTTAATATGGAAATGGGTCATAAGTTGCCTAGTCTGTCTCTTTCTTTGAAGGAAGGAATGTGGTCTTGCTAGTTGTAATTAGTGTTACTGGCATATACATCACCCACAGAGTATGACTGTAGAATTAATACCTGACAAGCTGGCATGAGAGTCATATGACTCTGTGCCGCCTTACAATCAAGTCCCTACACTGGGACTGAGAAATTTCAGGAATTTTTTTTATCAGTGACTTTCCATCTTTGAACGGTTTTTTGCTAGACACAACCTACAGTGAGACTGAGGGAATACTTTGAAGCCTCAACACAAATTTCAAAATATAAGGACCTGGCTGCTTCCATTAAAAATCTGTTCAGAGCAAGTAATTTAATTCATTCATACTGTGTAGTTAACAATATTATTTATAAATCATTAATTTTGTACAGATTTGTATCACAATGTTAAAACTGCTTAGAAGCAACAAGTAGACTGTTCATTCACCCTTCAGAGAGCTATGGGATAACTGCTATGGCTCAGGGTATGAACACATACATTTTAATGTATGTGAAATGCCTTAGCAGAGTCACTGGACTACTTGCATAAGAGTTACAGATTCACGCTTAAGTCTTGAAAATGGTCCAGTGTATTCATTTATCTCCCTAATTTCTACTGTTGGTTAACAAATAAGTTATCTAAGCTACACCATTAGATAGGAGCTGCTTCTTAATAAATAATGCTTTCATGAGAACAGAGGGTACTGAATGTTCTTCTGTTCTTCCAATCCAGTGTAGGGTACAAGTTACAATTTATTTTTTTCTGTCCTACAGAAATCAGAAGTTCTCAAGAAGACACAATGTGAATAAATAACTGGCTTAAGTAGTTCTGACTGGTACTATGCACTTGTTTCTTTAGCTTCTGCATTTTAAACAATGGCGGTTAAAATTCAAGTAAGGAAAGTGTTAACAGTATCTAGTACTTCCACGCATCCAGAACCTGCAAAAGTTATTTTGCACAATTTCATCTATGTGGGCCATTACAGAGAGGTGTAAGAGACTGATGACCATCAAATTAGTTTTACTGGGCAGACAATTACTCACCAACCACAAATTATTAAAAGTGTTTTTTCAACTAAAACCAAACTGTTCTTTTCACACCAAGGCTACAGAAACAGTCTTCCCAGGACTAACTGAAACTAAGTATCTCTACCAGATATTGCAGGATACCTTGCTTTTCAAAACATTCAGTTTCCACAACATGCTAGGCTAGCTTTTAAGTTTTTGTCAAGTTTTTAATACAAAATAATGGAATATATATTCAGTAATTTATAAATGCTTACACACTGGACCTGAAAGCAGGAAAGAAGCATGTTACAAGCATTAAGAAGTATTTTTGTTTGGAAGCAGCAAAGTCTTTATATAATTGCAGTTTTATTACTATGTAAGGGACCCATATGTAGCCTCAGTGATTTAGAGTATCTGCTGAACCAGAGTGGTAGTTTCTAGCACAGTAGACTGCTGCATTTTTTTTCTGCTTACACATCTTTAGATAAGATTTTTAAAGAGCTCAATTTTTGTAACTGTTTTTCAATTGAACAAATAATGATAAAATATTTAAGACACTTGCAGAATTAATGTTATTTCTCCTATTATATACTTTGAACTTATCAGCATAATGTGCTTTTTGAAAGTTTTTGGAAGGGATGGTCAACATCTGATACCATGTTTCTGAAGATTTATTACCTTAATTGTTCAGTTTAAATCGTCATTCAGCATCTGAAAACAAAACAAAAGCTTAATTCCTAATGTGCACCTGATTGTGCATCAGAAACTGCAAGACAGAATTACAGGTAACTATTTGTTCCAGTTATTTCTTACTGAGCTGCACAAATTATTTAAAGTAAAAGTAGTCTCAACCTACTACACAGAGGAGTCTGTAACAAGAAGAATTTTCCCTCATGTTCATCTATCAATATTAAAAGAAAGTCAGAGCAAATAAATAAAAAGCATCCCCACTCAGGTTCATTTTGATAATATTTCTGAACTGCTTCCACCAACTTAGAAGGACTCAAGCACTTAAATCACTGACTTCAGTATTCCTGTTAAAAACAGGGAACTTTTTCTACTAAATATAACTTCTAACATGATCATATGCCATAATACAAAAAGTAAATTATTGTACCTTTCAGGATGTCCCTTTTAAACAGTCAAATGAATTGCAAGTCAAACATTTCCATTATCAGTTCAAATATTTGCTGTCAAGACTAAAGATGACATGCTAAGCAACCTCAGAAAAAACAGTTTGCATTACAAAATCTTTGATTCTCAGTCCCTCAAAGCTTAGTGAAACACCACTGCCTTGTCCAGTCTATCCATCTAGACTGTCTTATGTCTTAGTCTAAGAATTCGTCTTTTTTAACTACAAAAATAATTTCATAGATTAAGGAGGATCTGCTCACACCAGAGTACTGAAGGCTGAAGACAAATGATGAATTTAAGTTTTCTCTATGGAAAAAGTGTTTCCCAACACAGTAACTGCATTATATCTATGTTGTCAGCAAGCTACAACCCCACATAAACTATTAAGCAAACCTAGTCAATTGGACCTATTTATAATTTCACTTTCACCACACAGATACCAGCCACCGCAGCACACCATGAAAAAATCCAGTGAAACAGAAAAACACGCATAGGAACTGATATCTCGGAACTGATATCTCACCTCCACTCCCCTTATTTTAATAAGACACCAAAAACTGGATCTGTTGAAATAGCACCACTGACTTCCCTCAGCATTCTTGAGGAAACAGATGTAAAGGACACCTCTAATTTCCAGACTATTGTTTTTCCACTTGTATCTACTTTCTTGGAAACAGGCAACAAAATTTATTTCAATCACCATTTTAATTCAGCGGTCACTGATGAACCAACCATCTGCTGTACAAAAGCAAGACTAGACCCAAAGGTTTTCTTGAAGATATGCAGTACACTGGCCTTTAACTGGAGCTGTCAGAAGATACAGAATCCAAGGTAAGACAGACTCAAATGTTTTCTAACTAATCAGGCTTAATTACAACCTAATATGCCTTCAACCAAGAATTATTGAAAAAAAGGGGACATCTTTGATTTGAGAAAAAAACGCTGAAGTTACCAACAAGCAGAATTAGCAGTTCTATATAAATTATGTCAGCAAACACTGACCCTATTTCATAACTTCCTTTCCTCAAATTTACACATTTACAGCACATCCATTTCAGCTTTGAAGCTTATTCACAGTTTTATTTGCTAAGCCACCTTATTTTGTTAACCACTGGCATCAGATATTAATAGTTTAAAAAGGCACACAACAAGTATTTTGACTGACAAAAACATTTGCCTTTCAATAAAAATATAAATTCACAATCTCATTAGTAATTAATTGCTTCTCTGTAAAATATCTGAAAAGAAGTCCCAAGAACTATCAGAGTTGCAGCACAAGGGACAGAATCCAAAACTATCTAGTTTTCAACACTTACTATTTGTGGAGATTTTACATCTCTAAACTTGTTGCTTATAGCAGATCTGCAAGTTTCCAAAAATCTGAAAAGAAAGGACAGAAACAAATTTTCTCACTTTTCTCCCCTTAGCCAGACCTTGCTCTTGTATTTAGTGGTTTACACCCTGGCCAATTTAGTGGCACAAGAATGTTTTTTTAATGCATAAGAGGTGTGTTTGACCTTGAAAGATTTTTCAATTCAAAGGAAAACATCCAGATATGAAGTCAAGATGCTACAGGCTTTGTACTTTTGAATGTGTTACAAGCACAAACATTAGTCAGCCTCCAAGCTGACCCTCCCCTCCACGGGGCAACGATGTAATAGCTGTGGATCAGGAACACCCCTTTACTGACAGCCACTTGTCAGCTGCCTAGTTCTCCGGAAGCCTGGAAGCCCTTCAATCATGCAGCTCCACCTATCAAAGTCCTAATCTCCTTGCAAGTCTTCCTTCCTATGAAGATAGTCTGTGTTTTCTTTCAGATAGATGAATTTGCTGGCAGGTTATCTGAAAATTGCCTCTATTTTAAGCAGCCTAGACATGCTTTATCTAACACCAGAATATCACTAGAATTTATTTGTAATTTCTAATATGAACCCAACCCAAACTGAACTGATATACAGCTGTTGCCACTCTTTTGGATACCAAAAAAGTTCTATTTAGGGGTATCTTTATGAGCTTGTTTTTAACTCCTATGTAGTTCAGGACTCTAGTTCAAACAGTTACCTGGCATGACTCAGGACTATGAACGAAGCAGCAGCCAAGGGGAGGAATCCTCAAGTCTCTATAACCCTTGGATCAGGAAATCATCCCAGTACCTACTGCCAGAATCACTTCTTTTATTCTAACTTCTATCGAGCCACAAAGTCAATCAGCAAAACTTGTCAGGAGAAATACACACCTCTGCCAGTTTAATCTTGCAGAGACCTGGCTTCATTTCTCAGCTCATTCCCCAGATTCAAGTAGAATGAGCAAACTATTATTTATTGGGATTTAATCAGAGCTGACATTTCTCAGCAGCTCACAGTTAAGTATCTTCCAACTTAAATATTCTATTACTTGCAGCCAATTTCAAAACACCCTTCGGGTGCTGCTGCTCTTGGTCCAACATTTCTAACAATGCATCAGCTATTTGACATTCTCCTTGCAACCTACTCCTCTGTTACTGCTTCCACTCTTTCAATAACTTATCCAACAATTATTTCTGCTCATGTGCTCATCTTTCTCTCTTGCATTGGTTTCCCGTTTCCTTCAGGGAATCTTAGTAATAGCAGCCTCTATTGGTCAGGCTACATTGTACATTCATATTCTTCTCAGTTTAACTATGTGACGAAAGCCCATCCCTAAGGCATTAAGTGGGTTACGCTGTACCAGGCCAACATACTGTCTGCTCTGTAGAGAATGAAACCAAAAACAAAACACCACGGAGAATGAACATTACTATTAAAAAAAAAAAAAAAAAAAAAACCAAAAAAAAAACCAAAACAAACACACCAACAAACCAACCCTAAGGACTTCTTACAAGCCTTTTTTTTGGGAAGGTTTTCTTCATTGTGAAATGTTTATGTAAAATTCCAATCCTAAGGAGCTGAAAAATCTGTTTCTCATGATTTATTACTAAATTGACACAAAATAAAACAAAGCTTGAAATCTAAATATCTTATTTGACCCTCTGCACATATTTTTAACTCAAGGAAATGGATGGTTTGTTTGAGCACTCAAAAGCAAAACAAGGACTGCTAGAGCTTTGGGGTTTTTTTAATACACACTGTCTGTCGCTTTTTAACTTTACAGAAAAGGCTTTACTAAAATTAAGACAGTGAACAGAGCTTCATGCAACCTGAAAGAAGACAGAGGAAACTAAGAGTCCATTATAAATTTGATGTTGGTATGAAACACAACTACAGCTGTACCATCCTTTGGTTAGGTTTCTCTGGAAATAAAAGTATTTTGGGTACGTCTGAGAAACAGCTCTCCCTCCAGTCTGCCATTACAGCTTGTTACCTTATAAGCTACTATAATGTCATGGAAAAATAGAAAAAAAAATCATAAAGGAAAAAAAAAAACCCAAACCACACACACCAAAAACCCCCAGCCACGCAAAACAACCCTTGCTCTAAAAACAGCAAGCACTGACAACTTCAGTGTTGCACAACAGTTTAAAAGTAAAGACAAATAAAACCCACATGCTTATTTAGTATAGCTGTAAATTATTGTGGGCAAGAAGGAAAACAACATGTAGGACAGGAGGCTGCATAACAGCTAACTGCAGACAAGTGTTTTAATTCCTGACGAAAATTTAGCCAAGAAATTCCCTACCTGCCTATCTCACCCAAGTTAATAAAAATTAAGTGGTCTCTACGTAGTTCATTATATGTAATCTTGCTATAAAGGCCACTCATTGAGGTTCTTAGAACTAGTTTTTTTGCACTTTTCTGTTATCCACTCAATTGTTTTGCACAAGTTAGATGCGACAAGGAATCACTCGCACTGCCCATTAACCACCCAGACGTAAGCGACTCGCCAATCCTGCCCTACCCCTATTTCCTATTCCTACCCTCCCCAGTTATCCCCACACCTGAGCCCACACAGCCACCTGCCACCACTGGAAACTCCCCGGGCCCCGCAGAGGGGCTGGATCGAGCCTCTGGTTCAAAAAAGAACTGAAACCCAAGGGTGCCCTGAGCACTTCTGTCCCTCTTCAGCACAGAATCACAGAATCGATTAGATTGGAAAACACCTCCAGATCATCCAGTCTATGACCGAACACCACACCACCACCTCAAATAGACCATGGCACACCACTCAGTGCCACGTCCAGTCCTTCCTTAAACACCTCCAGGGCCGCTGACCCCACCGACCCCTGGGCAGCCCATTCCAAGCACACAGCAACGAGAAAAGGCGATCAAGGGAGCTCTAATATTTCTTCTTTTTCCCATCTGAAACGTGCTGAGGACACAGGTACGAAACGGAGCTTCACCCTGACGGATCAGAGATCTTTGTCAGTGCTGAGGAAGCGCCGCCGGGCCGGAGCCGGCCGGGAACCGCCTGGCAGGGGCCGCGTCCCAGAGGAGCCACCGCCTGTCCCGGGTCACGGGATCCCGGATCACGCCACATTCCCCGCCACCCGCACCGGCCCCGGGGAGCGCCCGGGGCCCTCTCCCACCGCTGCCCTGGCCGGGGCTGCCCTCCCGCTCCACAGGAGCGCCAGGGAGCCACGGGGAGCGCCCGGACAGCACCGGGGGAGCGAGCAGGAACCGCGGCGGCGAGAGGAAGGAAAAGAACGCAAGCTCACTGGGCTCCAGACCGCGGGAAGGGGACTGCCGCCGTTCCCGGGCGCGCTGGGGAGGCCGATCCCTGCCCGCGGGAAGGGGCTGTGGGTGCTCCTGCCGCCGCTCCCGGCCCCGCTCCCGGCCCCGCTCCCGGTCCCGGGCTGCGCCACTGCCGGGCGCTGGGCGAGCAGGGAACATGGCGGGCCGGGCAGGGGCGGTGCCGGCACCACGTGATCCGCGCCGCGCGCGCACGGCCCCGCCCCCGGCACAGAGACCCCGCCCCCGCTTGAGGCGGCTGCTCAGGCCGGGAGGGACAACGGGAGGGGGAATGGGCAATGGGAATGGGAACGGGCAATGGGAATGGGAATGGCTATGAGAAGGGGCAATGGGAATGGGAATGGCTATGAGAATGGGCAGTGGGCAGTGAGAATGGCTATGGCTGTGCCCACAGCCAGCACACAGCACGCCCAGGCCTGTCGAGGGCCATACCTCTCATAGAACACTATCGTGTGATGCCTGAGAGCGGCCCACCGTTCTGCTGGAAACACGTAACACTTACTTGCTCCAGAACACTCTGAATCATGAAACCCTAAAATGCCTAAAACCATTCAGAGTTATTTATTAAAGGCAGTAGTCCCACTGTGTTCTGCATTAAGGACCCCAGGCAAGCAAACTCACAATTGTAAGGCAGCTTCACTTTATAAGCAGAAATGTTGAAAACTATACTTGTGTCAATGAAGGAATTAATCGACATACAAAGCACACTATTTAAAAAGAGTAGCCAGGCACTTTTTTCCCCTATAATAATTCAGAATAACAACGACTTGACTGTTTAAACAAGATCACAGGGAAAAAAGGCTAAAGAAGCTGGTGATGGTCTTTTCTGTGCTCTTACAACTCACCACGAGGATAGGGTAAAATATAATTAAAATGAAAAGAGCAGAAATTAAAGAGGTTCTCACATCATCAAGAGAAATAGGTGGTGACAGGCATAAGTACACCCATTAGCTCAAACAGTCATCACATGCTTCCGATCATAAGGGAGATGCAATCAGACTGGAATTGCCACTTGGCAGAGTCGTTTTGTTTTCCATCAGACGTACAAAACGGCCCAAGGAGTGGAAAACAAGATCTCAGTACCATCAAAAAGAGATGTCGCCTATTGACAGGAGCAGGATTATGAAAAGGCAGTCCATGCTAGAGGCAAATATGATGACACGAGATCCATTCCTATTTAACAAAGCTGGACTTTGAAAATTTTCAAACACTTTATTCCCAGGATCTGCTTTCATCCAATGCTAAAGTAAAATACAAGTAAATGCTGGAGAGGCAGAAAAATGGACTCTTTAAATTATGATAATTCTAAGACATGAAAGTTCTGATCATCTAGGGCATTATTTTGTGATTTAAAGAGAAAAAAATTCTTCATTTGGAAGTGGAGAAAATAATTGCTCTATTTTGCACTTAATGCCTTGTGGGGTGAAGCTACCATGTTTTTGTTTTGAGACAACATTGGTTTTCAGACACTTGGATATATTTAAGGAAATTTAGAAGCACATTTTGGGTTTGAAGGGACCTTTTAAGGGTCCAATCCCCCTGCAGTGAGCAGGGACATCTTCAACTAGGTCAGGTTTCTCAGAGCCCCATCCAGTCTGACCTTGAATGTTTCCAGGAATAGGGCACCTACCCTCTGGGCAACTTGTTCCAGTGTTTCCCCACCCTCATTGTAAGAATCATATTCCTAGTTTGCATATAGTCAGTCTGTCCAGCTGGATCTAGGCTCCTTTAGTTTAAAACTGCTACCTCTTGTCCTACTGCAAGAGGCCCTGCTAAAATGTCTGTCCCCACCTTTCTTATAAACCCCTTTTAGGTCCTGGAAGGCTGCAGTGGGGTCTCCATGGAAACTTCTCCAGGCTGAACCACCGCAGCTGTCTCATACTGTCCTCATAGGAGAGGTGCTCCAGCTCTCTAATCACCTTGGGATCCCTCCTCTGGACTTGCTCCAACAGGTCAATGTCCTTCCTGTGCTGGAGTCTCCAGAGCTGGATGCAGCACTGCAGGTGGGGGCTCATGAGACCAGAGCAGAGGGGCAGAATCACCTCACCTGCTGGTCATGCTGCTTTTGATTCTTTCTGGATTGCAAGGGCAACGGGTCGTGTCCAACCCCATCCACCAGAAACCCCAAGTCTTTCTTGTCAGGGCTGCTCTCTGTACATTCTTTTCACAGCCTGTATTGACACCAGGAGCTGCCCTGACCCAAGTCCAGCACCTTGCACTTACCCATATTGATCCTATGAGGTTCACATTCTTCAGCTTGTCCAGGGATTACATTTTTTTCAAGTTCTAGTTAGAAAACAAAATAATTTCTCAGGTAAGATGTATTTTTATTTCTTTTCCATGGGAATATAAATCAAAATAGAAAAGAACCATGGTGTAACCATGGCTATTATAGTTATGATTTTATAGGCATAATGGAGTATCACAGGGTTACACTCATGGCTAATACACACTCATGGTTAAAACACACCCATGAGTGCTTGAAGGATCAGGAGCTGAAGGCCCTTTTCCCTCATGTCCACCCTGTTACTGTTATTCATGTACGTAACAAAACCAATAGTTGCTATAGAACAATCAAAAATCGTAGAACAAATAATGCCACTGATAGGGCTGGGTACACCAAGTATATCTGCCAGTTCTGAGGTTAGGTACAAAAAAATGCCCAGCTAGGATGTGGTTTGAAATGTGTGCAGCAAAATCATTCCCATCTTAAATCCTGCAGACAACATAGGGTCCCAATGGTGGTGCTGTGCAGTCTCCCCCTGCCCGAGGCTGCTCCCTGACCATTCCATTGGAGGTGAGCAGGGCTGGGGCAGTGCTGGTGGGGGCAGCTGCTTCAGGGTCCTGATGCCAGCAAAAGCCACATTTTGACTCAGTCACTGAACAAGCCTGGTGGCCCCGTTCCTGAACCCCACCTTGTGCCCCAACACTCATGCAACACCACAAACTCCTCCCCAGACCTGCCTGGTTCTCAGTGGAGTTTTGGCATATTATTGTCAACAGACCTGCCCTGCTCTTCTTGTTTGGGTGCTGTGGGACAGTGACCATTTTACCAAAGTCACTGTCCCTCTGTGCTCGCCACCCTCCCTCCACTCCTGGCTCACCTCCTCCTGTGCAGCAACCTGCCCTTGCTGCTCCCCTCATGTGCACCTTCCTCTGAAAGCTGACTTTGCACCTTGAGGATTTTAGAGAGGTCTATTCATGAAGCCATGTTGTTATGTCACACCATAGCCAAGGGCACAAAAAACATCCCAACGGCAAATAAAGGGCAATTTTTTCTGTGCGAGTATGGGGAAGTTCTGTATCAGCAAAGCTCTTATATAAAAGAGCTTGTGAATGCTTTTTACCATCTGTAGTTGGCAAGGAGACTTTCTCCCATCCTGGCAAGTGATGACATGGCCTCAATAAAACATGACTTTGTCACCTCTTGGGATGAATTCAGCAGTACAAAATAAGGGGATATGAAGTCATCTGCCTTTATGGCTCTGTTCATACCAGAATGCAGCAGGCCAGCCCTCAAGCAATCCAAGAAATTATCAAAGTGCTCTTGTTTCTTTCCTTATCTTTCAGGCAGTCAGTGAATTGGCCATTTACACTGTGAAGAGTCTCTGAAGGACTGTAATTCAACATATTTGCTCCTTAACCACAGCCTGTTACCAGGTAACTTTCCTTTTCTCCAGAAAAAAAGACCTGGTTTTTTTTGTTGTTTAAAGAGTTGCAGTTCTTGGCTTCAGTAGCAAATGTACATAGCACAGCAGACAGAAAAGGAACCCATTTAAAAAAAAATAAAGAGCATAAATTTCTTTTTGGATTTGAAAGGAAGCAAGAGTCATAAACAACAAATGGCAGCTGAGTATCTCCCTAAAAAGTGTATAGTAAGAGGGTTATGAGGGAGATGGAAAAGGTGCTCGACAGAACAGAATTAAATGGATCTCACTGTAGATCTCTAAGAACCAGAGGGAGTTTCATCACTGGTGTTAAGAAAGCAAGATTGATTCCAATTATAGAGCACTTCTTAGAACAGTATCTTTGTTTTTACATTCAAAATTGTGTGAAATTCATTGTTAATTTAGCTCTCATCTTCTCAAGATATGTATCACAAGTTCTGCAGCTACAGGCTCCTTGATCTTTGAGTGCAATTTATGTTTAAGATCTTACTGCTACTGTTAAATCACAGGATCCAAAAAGCAGCTGAATTTCCAACATCGCTAGAAAACCCAGTGAAAACAAATACAGACTTTAGCCTTATTCAACATACATTTGTCCTATGTTTTTGTGGATCACCTCTTATGTCACACTCCTTTTTGGAATAGCACCATGGACATACTAAACATCCTATCAAAACTAATTGTCTATGCTTTAAACAGTTAAGAGATCTTTTAACCACCTGGAACAAATTGAAATACGGCAACTTCAACAAAATAAAAGAATCTCAATTTTCTTTTATCCTTGTTTCTGGACCCTATACTCCCTGTACTCCAGTGATCTACACACTCCTGATGGTATGTACACTGTGTAGCTGCAAGCTGACTTCTTACAGACATTTTGAGACAAAGCATACAATCTTATCCAGCCAAATATTTTAAGCCTGCACAGTTACACAATCCGGGTAGGGACAATATAACCTGTTGACAAACTGTGGCCTGGAGTAGTACTTTGCTTAGTGAAACTATGACCACACCTACTTAAATAAGAGCAGTGATTCACTTGAATGACCATCTCTCATACTTGGCACTTCACGTCTGTAGACTATTCCCATATATAGCGGTACATGCTGCCACACATGACATTTGGCTTCTACTAAACATTTCAAGAAAGAAGCATCAGGTACAAATACAGATGGAAAAATGGCCAAATTGGTAAAGACCTCTGTGAGGTAAAAATAACCAAAACCATAAGATGATCAAGAAAGTAATACAATAATTTATGACTTTGTATACAGTTTCACTAACTGTGACATGTGAAGTTGCGGCAGCATGTTTATCAGCATGAACTAAGCATAAAGTGAAACCAAACCTAGATCGGTTTTTTTCACCAACCCTGGAACAACAAAGCCTCATTTCCTAGAGATTTGTGTCCTCAGCATACTTAATACAGTGCAGTTCACTCTCCCTGTCCCCCAGTACCTTCTACTCTTTTCTGCCAGTACTCCCAGGTGTCCTCCTTGTCCCAGACTACCATCTGAGGAAGTGGAAGCATATTTTTTGCCTGGCTTTTAGGTAATACTAAAAACCGTCTGTGTGTTTTGAACCAGCAGCCAGCAGCTTAGACTAGGTAACTCCTGAGTAAAGGTTAAGGGCTCTGTCAATTTCAACAGGAACAGAAATTCTTTTTATGATTACTGGATTTCACAAAATTTATCAAACATATTCTCATCTTTTGATGTCTAGTTTTAACTGGACTTGCTTCAATTGTCGTTGGGAAGGAAAACAATGGAAAAATGCCTGCTCACAATGTATTACCACATAAAACTAATTTAAAATGCTGAGTTTACAACTGCAAGGGTACAAGTACTTTCCCTAAGAGTTCTGACTGTTCTCAGCTTGTAACAGAATAAAGTTAAGGGACCAGTTTTAAAGGGGCATGGTTATAATCCAACTGATGACTATTTGTAGTTTCTATACCATAATCTGCAACTGAAGTTGCTAGTAACTGGATTTTATTATTCCCACATCTTAAAAGATAAGATCAAGATGTGAAAGGCCAAAACCAAATGACCCTCTTGCTGCTGCTGGCATGGCTCACTCAGATCACAGTGAGGCAGGCTTGCTTAGGGATCTGAAAGCTTTGGGATACCTGCTGTTTGCATACTTGCTGTTTACATGCTCAGTAAATATGGATCATAGTTATAGCTTAGCACTACACAATTAGGGTGAGCAGTTCAAAAGAAAATTATGTTACATATTATGTCACAAATGTAGTCACTATTACAGCTATAAATTTTACCCTTGAAATATATTCTGTCAAAAACACTGTCCATGCCTTGTAACATTTCTCTTTGGCAAGATAAAACTTGGATGAGCTCTACGTTACTGGAATGGCTTCAAAACCAACTGCAGGCAGAAATTATTTATAAGTGTCTGTTATTCACAGCTAAAATAGTCTTCTGTTACGCGGTGTTCTGACACAGCACAGTACTGCCGTACAGCTCTCCTCAACAGGACCATGACCTTCAAAATTACTGCACACAACGACACTGTGCTTACTGTGAACCAGTCACACATAAGTTTGCCTTCCTCTAGTTTCATTGAAAGCTAAAAATAATACTTTACACAGTAGTACTCCCACTTAAACAAGCAGGACTACTTGTAACCAGCAATTCCAGCACACGGGTAAGGGCTGGGAAGGGCAGATATTAACTGATTGGTTACACAGCTGAACACCAGGGGTCTGGTGTAAAGCTTTAATATGTATTTTACATCAGTGCAATTCCCCTAGAACACACATTTTCATATGATAAAAATCTTTAGTAATACCACAGTAGATCACACCATTGAAAGTTAACTGTTAATACTCCACTGAATGGAAAGATTTTTCTTCTTCTTTTTTTTGTAGAAAATAATTTAAGTGTCTCTTCTTAATAACAGGTTGCACACCATTTCCCCCATATACAGATAAAAGCCCTGTCTCTTAGTCCTGGCTGGCTTTTAGTTCCCCAACAGCTATTTTCTCACCTCATGTCCCTAACTCGTTTCTCTGACAGGTCACGTGGCTGGAGAGCTCCAGGGCAGTGCCCCAGCTGTGTCAGAGCCAGACGGGAGCAGGAACTGACCTCAACTCCTCCAGCAAATACTCACCAGGTTTTTCTGCTCTGCTGATGCTGATGTTTAGCCTTGAACTGAAAAATGCTTGTTGTGCATTTGTAAGAGATACAGGGCTATTACTTAAGTGAGAAGAATGAGAAAATGTTGGGTTTGTTTTTTTTTTTGACAAATAAATGCTTATAGTATACAATCAGTGAACATCCTGTTGACTCTGGAACAAAAATATGTATAAAAACAGTAGCTGTTAGATTTCCTTCTATTCGCTGTTTCTGCTTAAGCAGAATGCACAATATAAAAACATTAATTTTCTTAGTTCAGGACAGATGCCCCAATTCAAGTGACAATATCCACTCAGAAAGTAATTAATGCCTATTAATTTCATGCCTCTATAACAAGGATAAAGTCAATAATATATTTACATAATCTTCTGAAATAAACCATTCGCTAAATCCTGCATTAATTTCTTAACGGTTGCAGGACACATCATCTTATACTGTAAATCTGGACTGCATACTGACAGACTATCACAAGTCCTGTTTTCTTTCCAGTAGCTATAAAAAGCTAAAGCAGGATGCCATTCTTGTTTTCATTTGCTAGCTGTTTTCTCCCCCTTTTACATTGTATTTTTTGTTTCTTTTTTCCCTGTTAGAAATTAGCTCTCCAACCAACTTAACAATTTAACACTTACTTGCAAAAAGTGATTTAATTAAGGAATGAACCCATGCTGAACATTCTGCAATGCAGGCAAGTATGTGAACTGCAGTTTTGGAAACAGTTTGTTTAGTGTAAATGAAACTTAGGTTCTGTGAAAGAACTCCTGCTGAAGGTAACAAAATATCCAAATACTCAGCCCCTTGAGAAAAAAAATGCAGCACTTGGAATATTTTTAATGGATTTCCTAGTGAATAATTTTACTCTCAGATATAGCGTAACCATGTGTCCCAGTTTAGATGAGACAAGGGTCTTTTGCTGAGGATGGATTAGGAGAAAAAGACCCAAACTTCCCTCTCTAAGCAATTATAAATCCGAAATTAAGAGGCTCCGACTGAAGGAAAACAAATTATGGAAAAGGGAAAATAACAGCCCTTTATTAAAAGATATGTGTGTATTAACAAGAACACAGGAAAGGAAAAAAAACAAGTAAAACAACCAAGCAATACTCCTATACCCACCAAATAATCCCCTTCAAGAACAAAACCGATAAACTGGCAAAAGGAAAATTGAATAGTTCAATTTTTTTTTTTTTGCACCCTTTGGTGCAGTTCCAACCACAGTCAGCAGGGGGCGCCGTCAGGTCACTGGAGATGCAAAATTTGTAATGTCCTGTACCATTCACCAGGTGGCGCTGTTGGGTCACTGGAGGTGCAGGACTTGTAGTGTCCTATTGTAGTCACCAGGTGGCTCTGTTGGATCACTGGAGGAGCAGAACTTGTAATGTCCAGTGCCCGTCACCAGGCGGCGCTGTGGGATCCCTAGTCTGCCCTGTGGGATGGGGGGAAAAAAAACAACAAACAATACTCTCCAGGTATGTCAGAGGGAGGAAAAAAAAAACAAAAAAAAACCCCAATAAACCAAAACCCAAAAAAACTCGGTTCCCCTTCCCTTCTCACACTGGGAAAGGAGAGAGGGAATGGGGGGGGGGGGAAGGAAAAAAAAAACAGCAATGAAACAGAAAGTTCTCCCAATGGAAGAAAACACAATCTCCGACTAATTAGAATCCACCTCAGGCAAAAAAACCCTGCAGCTGGCAATGGCTCAGGGCAAAAAGAGACAGCCGGGAGCTTCTCCAAAGACAACGTGTCCTGCCGTCCCAGCCCCAGCCACACCGTAGCCTCCCCCCAACTCCTCACACTTCGTTGCCCAGGAGGCAAGAGAAAAAAGTAAAGTGTAAGTCCTTATCTGCCTTGTTTCCTAGGAAACTAATGTCCGGTCATCAGCCATGAGGCTAGGTCTTTTGTATTCTGAAGTGCTTATCTTGATAACCAGGGGGGAAAGGAGAAAATTCTTCACTTGGCTTATGAGAGCTAGCTAAAACCACGACACCATGTCACAATTTTTTCCTTTATTCTTTTATTTTCTTACATATTTACATTACTTAAAAACACATAGATTTATTGAAGCCATCTTCAAAAATACATTAGCAATTTTTTAAAACTGATTTTGTACTTTGTAGTGACAGCATCTACATAGTATCAATATAGAATTTAAAGTTATAAGTTTCAACAGAGGCACCTTCTCATATCGATGTTTCCAAACCATTTATTAGGGAGGGATAGTGTTACAAACAAATCCATCTGCTGTGATACCACTGCTCTCCACATTCATTACAAATAACGTAAGTCAACATTTGTTCATCGGGATTTGTGTTTTGCACCCAACCGGGAAGAAAGAGAGTTCCTCTGGCAATCATAGTGACGGTGCAATCAAATTTTTCACAGCGCCTACACTTTATTTTGTTTGTCTGTGTGCCATTAATAACTTGTGGAAGCTGATGTTCCTGAACAGACGATTTGGTGTACAGAGCCCTGAGCTGTTTCAGTTCATCACTGGCCATTTCCATCACTGTCATCTCAGCAAAAGCCTTTGGGCTCAAAGTCCCTGTAAAAAGGTTATGTTTCAAGTGGCAATTTTTAGGATTCTTCAGGTTAGAGATTTTACTTCTGATGCAATTTTTATATTTTTTGTCATTTTTAGCATGAAGAGCAAAAATACGGTTTTCAATTTCTTTGGATAACTCTAACCATTTAACAGTTTCTTCTTCATCTTTGGCAGAACCAATCAAAGCTTTACATAGAAGATCAATAGATTTGCACCTAAGAGCTCTCATCGGGTCCTGCTGCAGACTCGCTTCATTATCAACAGATTTAGAATCTTCATTAACAGTGTGTTGCTCCTCAACAGAAGAAAGCTGATTCATACTGCCTTCTGCATTGTTACATATCAGATTTTTAACAGTTTGTGATGGGACCAAAATGGTGGAACTAGTACCACCTAATGCCTCCTGCTGACATGGTCCTTCTGACAGCAACTGCTCTCTAGGAGCCACACTGCAATGCTCAATTTCCTCTTTCACATACACAGAAATGGACTTTTTAACTTGCATTGACTGAACACAGTTATTCTTGTAAAGTGCTTTCCACCTTGATAATAACTGCTTCGCTTTCTTTTTCAACCCTCCTGAAGGGCAGCTCTTGAGTACTCTGTATACAGCCTTGGCAACTTCTGTCCCCTGAAGATATTCTACAGTCATATCAACATCTTCAAGTTCTTTAAGATGATCCTCAATATCTTGCAAATTGTTCTCAGACAGCAGTTTTTCAATACAACGGGTTCTGTGTACAATATTTTTCTGATCAGACATTTTTAAACCTGAAAGCCAAAAAATCATCACATTTACTGCATTTATGACATTAATTCATCTTCTGTATATTCACAAAAGGTCTTCTCTTTCATTTTATGTTATTTTACACTATTTTATTTGTATATATCACTGGTTTTGCCACCATTTTCTTGAAATTGTACAGAAGAATTAGTGAAGCAAATGCAAAATGCAGAGGAGCCCAGGTCCTGGAAAAATGCAAATGGGAAGGCTAGTCTAACTCATTCCAGAAAAATACTGTCAGACAGGAGAGCCCAGAGGGACTTCTGCTGGGGTAGGCAAGTGACTACAAATGAACTCAGTGCAAGGTGTCAATGACACAGAATAACAGAAAAATCAAAGAGAGTCCAAACCCTTCACATTGTGAGGTGCTTTTTTTTAGCTGCTGTTTTTAGGGACTGCATGTTTAGTTTTAATTTTGATTTTGGTTTTTTAAATTAGTCATTCCTATTAATATACATTAAGCTAAATTTTTTTTCCACAAATTCTTATAACAAATGCAGCAATGTTTGGCTATCTGTGGTTTTGTTTCAGTGAAATCTGCAAGTCAGAAGAAATCCTTTAGATAAATTCAAATACATAGGATTTGGCATTAGAAGACTAACTTGGAATAGGGAGCAAGGTGTATCATAGCTATGTTTCCACAAATTTATTTGGTTTTGCCACTGTATGTTGTAGCCTATGCAATGGAATCACTGGTAAGTGCATTATGAATGACCCAGAAAACATATAAAGTTAGAAAGTTTAAGAGAATTTGCACAGTCACATAGTTTGAGTCAAAATTTTAACTTCTACAGCAGACAGATGAGATACTTGTGATTTTTGATTTTTTCATTTCACACTTTTTCCTCAACCCTTTGTTACTTCAAAAGAATAAAATTAACCAGCTAATGAGGACGTGGCATCTGACCAAAAATTACTGACCTAAATGAGTTTTTCAAGTACCTAACGGAGATGTCAGAGTTTTCAGGCCTTTGGAGTACTTTTTTGTCACCATAACTTGATATTACAGACTTCTTCAATTAGTGAACAGCAAGTAGGTGAACACATTTTATTGGGAGCTGCAAACTGAAGTTTTGGGGTTACTCTGCAGCAAGTTTAACTAAGTGAACTGACATAAATCAGTGAAACTTAAGCCCAAAACACCATCCTGGTTCCTACATGATCCTCTGCTTTTCACTTGCTATGCTATATCTCTTCCAAAAAGTTTCTCTTTATAGGTGTTATCAGAGAAACAATTCAAAGTAGTAAACTTCTAAATTATGTCCCCACTGCTGCCTTTCTCTTGCTAGCTCTGGCTTCATATTGCAGTTGGATTATCAGGATAGGGAAGCCTAAAAACAGTGACACCTGCAAAAGTTTCAAAACTATGACATTTATCAATTTTGAAAATTTTTAAAAGTTAAAAATGCATCCCTCTATTTCCTTACAGCTGTAGCATTATTAAAGCATGCTCCCATATATTCCAATGTGTAAAGGAAAACAAAAGGGTGTTTTCAGAATGCAAAGTCTCATGGCTTGAATAAGATTTCCTTTTGATTCCTTTGCATCAAACTCTTTGACCAAAAAATGCTCAGTGCATTGTTATTGTAAATTTACACACAAAAATATGTTGATATTACTAATGTTATTCTTCTGCTTGCTGAAAAGGAAAATTAAATGTAGAACGCGGTAATGGATGGTGTGTTAACATTAAGTGTTCCTCTTTTCTGCAGTTAGTCTTCTAAATTTATGCACAAAATCAGTGTTTTGTCTGAAATTACATACCTCCTGATTCTACTCTAGAAAAAGTCTTCTGCCTGACAGAGGCAAGGCTAGCTGCACACGTCCAAAAGAGCTCATAAGCAGGGTTCTCGCAGGATCATTGTTTCCATGATGAAAACTCCTGAGGACGGAGGTAGAGGAGGGACAAGTGATACAGCTGGGGAATGTGCACGCTCTGTTGCTCTCTATGACCACCAGCCTTACAAAGAAATTACCACACACAAAGTGCTCTGTTTATGCATATACTTTTACCCTGTGACAAAGGCGAAGTATTTTGATCTTTCACTGAGCACTATGCTTCATAGAAAGCTTCCTCTCTAACATGGCAGGGTGAAGATCTGTATGTAAGAAATGGTGCAAGGAGCCCATGGATATCACCTGCTTCATGGTAGTGGTCCTTGCTCACGGTGCAAGGTGCATCCACCTGACCCTCAGAAGCCCACCAGGGTGGCAAGGTTCTACCTAAGGACATTCACACTAAGGAAATTATGAGATTAGTGCAGTTGGTTAGAACACATTGCTAATAGCACCAAGGTGGCAGGTTTGATCCCCACATGGGCCATTCACTTAAGAGTTGGACTTGATGATCCTTGTGGGTCCCTTCCAATTCAGAATATTCTGTGATTAGAAATTTTAAATCTTCTTAGTCATGCATTGAACTTTTCAATGTTTATGCAGCACTACATTTAAGTTCATAAATATTACAGCAGGAGTTAAGTAAACAAACTGAAAACAGAATATGGACATCAAATTACAAACAATTTTTTTAAATAATTTTGGAAATTAAACCACCTAACAGACTGTTCACATTTAAGTCAAAACAGTCACTTCTAAGGGAATGCTTCCGTCAACATGTACAACTTTATATGAGGTGAGACTGAATGACTCCCTTCAAACTTACTAACCAAAGCTAGGTAAAAGTAACAGAAAAAGTAAGTAATCAAAAATATGACAAAAACAGAACTAAATCCATAATTAAATATTGCAATGGAATGGGATATTCACTGGTAAATGGCAGAACCAGCCAGCAGAGAAACCACTGAATAAAGGTAAAAAATCAATGACACCAGAGAGATTTCTGCAGGGAAAATATCCTTGGAATGGCCCTGGCTTTGTTGTGTGTACCTAGTTTGCAAAAGATTTTAAGATCTTTCAATATACACTTCTGAAGTATTACACTAACTATTAAAATATTACACTAACTACTCGAGTATAAGCTTCATCTCTCTTTCCAAATTAAAAGGAAGTGTACTGAAAAAAAAAGTTGTGCATTTGTTGCCCTATAAATCAAGGAAGGACTGGACTGATCACCAAGGTTGAGACAGACCATTGTTTTATACAATCAGAAATTAAACAGAGACTCCTGAACTTATAAGGAATATATAAGGTAATCAAATGGTTGATTTTACCATTCAAAGGATGAAGCAAAGCTCATTACTACTGGGAACCCTGTGTACCATTTCATATTAAGTCTGAATCAAGCACCAATTCTGCTTTTTCTAATCAATGCACAACATGACTATGTCAAACAACTGTAGAAAACATGTTTTTCACATTCTTCTAGGGAGAAATAAGAAATCACTGATGCTGTGGTAATACTGCAGTGTATTTTCTAGCTGAAGTTCATTGGGAACCCAAGTATAGCAAGCCTGAGTTCTTCCCTTTTCCATTTGCAATTCCATATGGAAAATTATTTTACCACTTGAGGGAGCTGTAGCATAGAAAACCCATGGAATCTTGTGAAATGTGCATAATGAGAAACTCCAGCCTGTGAAAAAAAAAAACAAACAAAACCCAAATAATTTCCCTATGACCTTCAGGAGACTTCACATTTTTACGGTACCTATTTGTCTAATTTTGGCAAAAAAAACCTGTAGAGTCCATAGCTGCTGGGATACAGACAGGAGGGAAAGGATGCACCCCTTATCCAACCATTGTCCTTTACATTGCTCTTTCATTTGACTTTTTAGAGTTTGACTGCTTTTCTATCTGATTTACTGCAATTTGACAAATGCTGCTGAACAAATATTTATAAAATTAACTGAATTGTACTCAGTCAGCACTGTTCTGCTGTCTTCCTAGTTCCAAGGGACAAGAAATCCAAGCAAAACTATTTTCTTTCTTAAGTTATTAAATGAATCATGCACCTTTGTTAAGGTAGGGAAAGAATAAATGTGTCACAATTTTGTGCAGTACAACAGAAACTTTCTCACCCCTACCACAACTACACAAGACATTTCACTTAAGTAGTGCATAAAATCACATAATCAGAGAATGGTTTGGCTTGGAAGGGACCTAAAGGTCATCTAGTTCCAAGCCCCCTGTCATAGGCAGGGATGCTATTTACTAGACCAGGTTGCTCAGAGCCCTATCCTGGCCTTGGACACTCCCAGGGATGGGGTATCCACTACTTCTCTGGGCAACTTGTTCCAGTGCCTCACCACCCTCTGAGTAAAGACTGTTGCCATCACTCCATCACAGGAAGCCACCAGACTGGTCAGGTATGACTTGCCCTCAGTAAAACCGTGCTGGCTACCTCAAATTGCCTCCTTGTCTTTTATGTCCCTTGGCATATCTTCTGGGAGGATCTTCACATGCACAAAGGTGAGGTTCACTGGTCTGTAGTTCCCTGGATCTTTCTTTCTCCCCCTTTTTAAAAATGCGAGTGATGTTTTTCCCCTTTTCCCTGTCACTGGGGACTTCACCTGACCACTGTGGCTTTCCAAATATGCATAAGAACATCTGTTTGAAATCCAAGAGTATATTGAAGGTTACAAGCTAGAGATTGGCTCGTGTTTACAATAAGACTCTGTAATGACATGCTGATGAAGCATTTTCATTAAGAGTTTTAACTCTGACTGCACAGTATAATGAGTCACTTGTTTGCACAAGAATAAATGAAGACAATCAATAAAAATCTTGTAAGTCAGTTTGCTCCCAAAAAGACAAAAAAAGATTGGGCTACCTCAGGTTTAAAATATGGCCATTGTGTAATAGTGCCAAGTTGAATCAGAACATTTTTAAACAGTATAATGACTAAGTAGGAGAAAACAGAAAAAAAACAAACAAAAAAAAGCCCAGCCTAAGACACTTGCTGCTAACTGCAAAGTCAGTCCCTGTGAAAAACACTGGCCTCTACAAAACCATTTGGGGTAAATGCCTTGTCTTTGCTATACACCTCATCTGGTGCAAAGCCATAGTCTATTTTGTCTTAGCATGGACAACCCTGAAAAACCAAGTCAAACTCAGAATGCATCCAAGTAAATGGGTATGAATATCTTGGAAGGGTGAACACCGGTTCTCCGTCATCCCAAACTCAGAAGAAAATCCAAACCACAGCCAATACAAGGATCAGAAGTCAAGTACTCCTAATGGCATAATAAGTTTTCTGAAAAAATGTGGTAATGCTATAGCAGAGATGATGCATGGGACAGTCCTGGAGACACAGGCTTACTTTGGGCAACCTAAATTCCATATAAACAGTAAAAATTATCAATGCTATTTTAAATTCAAGAGTCTACGCAGAAATCAGAGAATTCTCACAGCCAGCTTCCAGACCCAAAAACATTCCTTCATCCTATCTGCAGTGGGAGAGTAGATTTCAAAGATGTCACCAAGAATCCATTTACTGGGGCTTTTATTTCATCTTGGCAAAAATCAGAGCTCTTCCTGCCTCTCAGCAGGACTGCCTCCCACCCCTAAAAATTCTGAACTAGACCGAAAATCATCTTCAAAGAATAGCCACATGAATAAAGCTCAGTTAATACAGTAAGAACTGAAGCAACACAACAGCATAATTGCCAGCTGTCCATGGCCACTGACACCTCACTGACCAAGAGAGTCATCTCTCGGTCACAGATCCAGAGGCAGCGGAGTGCACAGCACTATTAAGGAGAAATAGCTTTGTTCTGTATCTTTTACATCAGTGACTGCTTCAACTACAGCGCTCTTAACTAATCTGGAGCTATACTGTCTCTGTCCCCTGTTTCTCTCACTGAAGTCACTCTCCCACGCTTTCTTCCTAAAACAGCGAGTTTGCAGGGGAGAAATGGCAAGAGTGCATCACATTCATGTGAAGATGTACACAGTAGCCTCTTCTACAAGACAAATTTTTAATCCGGATTTGGAGTTGCTTTTCCCAGAACCCCCATTTTTAATTAAAATAGAATTCTTATTTTCTTAAAAAAAAAAAAAAAGGGAAATGAAAAGATAAAACAATCAATAGAGTGCATAATGAAATTCTCAAGCCTCAGGGATCAGTTCCAAACTAGAGCTGTCAGCACATTTTTCTAATAAGATCAAACAAACATGCATGGATTTAATGAGATAGGAAAAGCTGTTGTCCTTACCAGACTGCTTAGCCACTGGCTTCGTTTGACATCAGCCAGAGCTCAGGAAAAGGCTCAGAATATTACAGCTACACTAGAGGAATAACACCCTCACTTGTTCCACAACAGAAATTACTAGATGAGAAAATTCTTTACAAATTGAACAGCTACAGCTACTCTTGAGTTCTAGCTGATGTTAGAGTGGATGCACACATCCCAGCAGAGACGTTACCTTGCTAATGGCTTCTATTAATAATTTAGTTCAGAATTAAATTGATTCTCACTAGAAGATGATTTAGCTTTTCCTATATCCTAGCTGTAAATTCTTCTACTGAATTAAGTAAACTAGTTGAAACCCTGAAAATGTTAAAAGTAATGCATTATTCCACTGATATCTTTATTTCTATTGATATGGTTGATCTTCTTAATAAAATACTTTTAAGGAGTTAAAAATTACTAAATTTACTTTTAACAAGTTACAGATTACAAGTATTGAGTGGAGTTATTGGCTAATCTCTTCCACTATAGGACAGCTATACAGACTCACAATTCATTCCAATACATTCTGACTCAATATGGCAATAATAAAATGTTAATATAGTTCTGAGAGATTTTTTATCAACAGTTTCATTGAAAATTATGTATAAATAATGTGTACTTCTATTTGCTTTAAAATTTGCAGCATTTCACATACAGAAACGCTTGGTTTCTCTAATTTACAACCAGATTATTTTTCATTATCCACTAACTTTATTCTACATCCCATTTCCTAGTTTGGGTACAAGGTCACAGAAATGTTCCACTGGGTTATCTGGTTTTCCAAATTTTCATGACAAAGACTTATCACAGCTGGCAGAGAAATCCCTTTTCTCTCAGCCTCTTTCCAGTGCTTGGCAGTATGAGGTACTAACTGGGGCTTCAAGCAGGTCAAAAGTCAGGCTTTTGACACACAGGGTACATTTTCAAAACGTGAACTTCCATTACGGCCACAAGTGACAAATACACACCAGAAGAGTGTTGAATGAAATTAAAACAGATGACTCAGGCATGAATTAATGTTACGTAGCTATGGTAAAGACACAGATTGTGACAGATGTATTTTGCACTAATTAAGGTGACCTGCTACAGTGTAGTTTATCACAGGATTCAGGCTTTTTGTGGGGCTGCACATAATATTTCAAAAATCATATAATAATTTTTGTGATTATAAATTAACAGTCTCCTGCAAACTAAAGAGTACAGCTTATCATCTGCACAAACTCAAGCTTGTTAAAAATACATCTGACATTTTCCCAACATGCCTCTACCATGAAGAGCAAAATTTAAGCTGGGACAAATAAAAAATGATAATACCATTCCTGTTACATCACCTGACTCAGTACCCAACCAAGACTTCATGGTGGGAAAAAATTTTTTTTGCGCTTTATGAAATAATTGCTTAATTTCCTAACATTCATGTTAACAGATTTTAAAACAAAAAATAATTATTATTGTTAAATCCGATAGACAATATGAACAATATTTCACTATTTTCCCACAGCAAGAGGATGCTAGAAACATTCTTCCTCATTTAAGAAACCTTCATTGTTTACTAATTAACTACTTTTATCCAATATAGCTTAGCCTCCTAAACTGTTCATCTGGATGGATGCAAATGTTCATATCCATATTTCACAGAATCACAGAACACGCTGAGTTGGAAGGGACTCACGAAGATCATCAAGTCCAGCCCTTAGCCTTGCACAGAACCATCCCCAAAAGTCACACCATGTGCCCAAGAGCATTGTCCAAATGCTTCTTGAACTCTTGTCAGGCTTGGTGCTGTGACCACTTCCCTGGGAAGCCTGTTCCAGTGCCCAACCACCCTCTGGGTGAAGAACCTTTTTCTAATATCCAACGTAAACCTCCCCTGACACAACTTCAGGCCATTCCCTCGGGTCCTGTCACTGGTCACCACAGAGCAGAGATCAGTGCCTGCCCCTCCTCTTCCCCTCATGAGGAAGTTGTAAACTGCAACGATGTCTCTCCTCAGTCTTCTCCAGCCAAACCAGCCAAAGAATTTCAGGAAGGCTGTGATACCTTCAAAGTGGAAGCTGGTTTCTTCAACGTACATTAACCATATTGACTTACACAGGGAACAGTTCATGAAGTGTGTGCGTGCTCTCTCTCTTTCTGAACACCACTGGGATTGTATCAGACATCTGCTCTGCTCCCTCTACTCAATCTCTGCACAAAAGAAGCATTCATAACAATGTCCTCCCAACACAGAATTCCCAGTACACTGAAATTGGCTTATACACCATAACGCTTTCAGAAGTAAAAAACTGGGAACTGTTCTACATTTCCTCTAAGGCTGTAAGCCTCTAGTGTTGCCATCTTTCCACCATAGACAAAATAACTAGGAGTTTATTTTCTGAAAAAAAAAATATAAATCAGAGTTTTACATGTTCTATCATAACTGCAAAAGACAGACAATTCTTTCCCTGTTTTCCCACAACGATGTTACCTGTCATGTTCGTGCTTGGTATTAGACTTTAGATATTCCTCCACTATTTTGTATCTTCCTTGTGAATTTCTTGTTCAGTTAGAATTAATAGAATTATTTTTTAAACCTACCAAAAAGAAGAACATGTTGTGAAGTGCAGGTTTAACATTGGCTTTTAAGTGCCAGGTTTTTTACAGTCCTCAAAAATATTGCTTGTATCCTCTTGCAGATGTCCAGGTTGTCTGAAAACTGGACAACCTCAACCTAAATGAAGCTTTCCTAAGGTGGATCCTTTCAGTGAGCTTTTGCACTGGCACAAAAGTCCAACAAAACAGACTGGCTAAAATTTAGGAGTCTAAATAAACAAGTAAAAACGTACTTAAGACGTATCTATCCAAAGTATATTTGTTCACTTAATACTTTAGAAAGAAAATATGAATCATTTTGGAGAGGAACAAGTAATTCTTTCTCTTGAACACATTTCCTTGATAAAATAGCTTTCAAGATTATTCTTATATAGAGCTAGCAAGGACTTCAATTCTAGCACACTACGAGCAAAAGTAAATGTTCAGTCTCCAATGCCATTTTATGGATAACTGTGCTGACAAATTCATATTAAAATGGAACATGTAAATAATAAAAACATGCTTTATGGATTTCAGTGAGCTTTTCGTCATTTTTCAGATGAACACCGACATTTTATTGCTTTAATGTTCATTTTTTAAGTTAAGCATCAGTTCTATACTATTTCTATTTGTCATTCCATTGCCAGGGCCATACTTAGATTAGATACCACTTTATTGTTCTTTTACAGGTTTTCCACTGAAAATTTATATAACTTTTTTCCTTCAAAAACAAATCCTTTGTATGTAGAAGAGAACATATGTTCCTGACCCCTCTACAGAGATAGCGTGATATAATCAAAAAGTATTTGTAAGATATTATTAGTGTCTGCTAAAATTCTTTCTGCTATAATATGAATAATTAGATGTAATTTCAGTCTTGATCAAGACACCTGATGTACTAGTTGAAATTATGAGAAATACACTGGAAATGAAGAGTGGGTTTATTTATTTAACTATTAAATGTACTACACTGAAAAATGCGAAGTCTCTAATTCCCTTCTATATTTATGCCAGCATGTCTTACCTCAAGACATCAATGCTGCATAGCAACCAACAAAAAAAATACATTAAAATTCCCATAATATTGCTGCATTTTTCAAGGTCAGCCACTTCTGTAGAGTGGAATTATAGACACTTTTGATATAAATCAGAAGGATAATACCAGCAGCAGGGAGCAGCAGCCCAGTATGTACTTGTCAGGAAGCAGCTGAAGCCAGCAGCAGCGACACCTTGTCTGGCCGAGGTTCGGGGTTGGACTCACGGCACGAGGAGCTGAGCATCACTGTCATAATCCCCATCTTGGTCACTGGCCCAAGAAACTTGGTGGGGATCAGCCTGCAAATCTGCCAGCAGTTGCTCCCACAAAACCGGTGGGCCAGTGAACACGATAACTGATCCATAATACCACTAACTGTGTTTTTTCTCCAAATCCTTCATTAAAACTTCACATAATCAATTAAGTTGGAAAAGACCTCTGAGATCATCCAGTCCAACCTATGACCGAACACCACCTTGCCAACTAGGCCATGGCACTGAATGCCACGTCCAATCTTTCCTTACACACCTGCAGGGATGGTGACTCCACCACCTCCATGGGCTGTCCATTTCATTGTCTCATCACCCTGTGAATAAATTCTTCCCAATTTCCAACCTAATCATCCCCTGGCTCCTCATAGCCCGTTGCTGCAAAACATCCTTGGACCCCTCTAGGTGAAGTCTGACTGTCTTGCTCAGGGCCCAAATGCCGCCCCTACTCGTATCCCTGGCACGGTGCGGGCACAGGAGAAAAAGCAACCACGGCCCTGCCTACCGAACCTCGCTTCCCAGGAGCGCTCTTACCGCTGTTCCCCGATCCCCCTCGGCCGCCTCGGGCCAGCCGGAGCCTGCCCCGTGCTGAAGGGCAAACCGGCGCTGGGGAGCATCGAGACGGTTCGTGTCTCCCGGGGCTCTCCCCGCCCCTCACCCCCAGCTCCAGGGCACGGGGCAGCGGCTCCCCGGACATCACGGAGGAGGGGAAGCTGCACTCCCGTTAGCCCCGGCCAGACACACAGCGCTGCCCCCGCGCCCCCCGTGCCCCGGCAGCGGGGCCGGCGCCCTCACCTCCCCACCGGGGCTCGACATGGCGCCTGCCGCCCGCCTCCTGCGCCGCCGCCATGTCCGCGGGCGGGCGGCTGCGCGCTGGCCCCGGCGCTGCCGGAGCGCTGCAGGGCTGCGGGCTCGGGCGGGCCCGCCGGGGGCGGGAGGTGCCCCCTGCAAAGAGGCCATGTCCCTAAGTGTCAGAAACTGTGTGGCGAGCAGGACCAGGGAAGTGTTTGTCTCTTTGCGGCCGCACCTCAAGTGCTGCGTCCAGTTCCGGGCGCCTTAACTCAGGAAGGACACGGAGGTGCTGGAGCGAGTCCAGAGAAGGGCACTGGAGCTCGTGAAGTCTGGACACAAGTCCTATAAGGAGATGGGGTTATTTAGCCTGGAGAGGAGGAGGCTGAGCGGAGAGCTTACTGCTCTCTACAACTACCTGAGAGGAGGTTGTAGCTGGGTGAGGGGTGGCCTCTTGTCCCAAGCAACCAAGTCTTAAGCTTCACCAGGGGAGGTTTAGGTTGGACATGAGGAAGAGTTTCTTCACAGAAAAGTCACTCAGGTGCTGGAATGGACTTCCCAGGGAAGTAGTGGAGTTACCATTCCAGGAGGTGTTTAAGCAAAGACTGGACATGGCACTTAGTGCCATGGTCTAATTTGCATGGTGGTTTCCATCAGTCATAGGTTGGACTGGATGATCTCAGGGGTCTTTTCCACTCTAATTGATTCTGTGATTCTGCCGTCAGAGGGCCGTGGTGGATTGGGGTGTGGTCTCCAGTGATGTCCCCCAGGTATTCATGTGATTTTAAACATTAACCTCAGTCATGACGTGGTCCTTTTTAAGCAAACACAGCTCGGGAAAGCCAGTGTGACACACCAGATGAGTGACTATCAGACCTAAGGCTAATGGAGAGTAGAAAAAAACATTGTAAAAATTCTCTTTTTCAACATGGTACTGTGTTGCTTTAGGTATAATCAGATCATCTTTTGGATGACAAATGGAGCTATGCACAGGGTTAAAAAAATAAACTTTTATAAAAAACACAGTTACAGCTTTTGGATATAATGAAGTATGCTGGAGATATCAACATCTAAAATTTGATGTATTTTAGTCGAAGCAAAGATATTTGTCATTGCTCTTCTCTTTCCCATGTTTTACATAGGTGTTCAGAATGATTTCTCAAGAGGTTAATACTTACAGAATTTTGGCTCTACAGCAAATGTACAGGTAATGCTGGGGTTTACACTCAGGTGCGGTAAAAAGTTGGTATGATTTTTTAGTACATGTTTTGGGGTTTATTCACTAATGAGGCCTATGTTGCCCTCTGCTGTAAGTAATCTGAGTTTACCTACCTGAACTTGACAATATGTTTCAGCAAGAATATTGTGTACTGCAGACACATCTCTTTTTCCCTATTTTCACATAATGAATTTCACCAGTACTAATCACAATGGAAAAAAAATAGCCATTTATTTCTGTAAAGGATGTTAAAAGTCACAAGTTGCTTAATTTATTAAATTATTGTACTGAATCAGATGATCAGTGGTCATTACTGAGTGGTCTCAAACCTTACCTTCCAGGTCCAAATATGGAGTGTCATCCAGTGGCCTATCTTAAATGTTTTGAAGTATCTTTGCAGCATTCATATGTCATGAACTCAGCAGCAACTATCATTGCAATATTGAAGAGTCAGCAGTTTAGTTTCAGTTTGGGGCTCCCAGGATAGGGCTCTTAAATTATTGCTTTCTTTAGTCTTTCTCTGTTTGTGTGGTTGTGAGCACAGTACATACAGGATTCTTTATGCCCTCAGCTGGAAGTGCCTTGCCTACTGCAGAGGCACAGAGCTCCCTGGACAGGAAGGCACAAAAAGGAATATGACATTCCTCATGATTAGCCCTCCTTTGAGCAGAGATCAAAATGGAGGATGTCCCTCCTGGAGGTGCTTTCCTCACTCAAAGAGTTGCTCGGGCAACCATTAAATGGTCTTCAATCTAATGAATAAGGGATCATTATTCCAGTTTCCCATTTATAGAACAGATCCAGTGATGTTTTCTCAATTACCTATGAAGTAAAGCAAATCAAAACAAAAATATTATTAAAATTATGTGTTCATTAAATTCATACATATGTGTGTATGTGTGTAATGATATATGTGTACATCTTTGTGTTTGCATGGTTTAACAGGATAAAATCAGTGCTACTCTAACAGTGACCACTTCCTTGAGACTTCAGTATTGGCAGTGATAAATATCTTCTTCTCTAAAAACATAGGCTTCTATTCAACAAAGTGAGATATTCTGCCAGCTGATAAAGTATTAAGTATCCACAGAATTTGCTGGAAAAATGTTGGTCAGTGTCCATCATAAGGTTCCTGTAAAGAATAGTATAAGTTTCAAATAAGCTTCCATAATTTTTTTTCTAAAACAATGGTTCTATTTAAAGAAAAAAAAATCAAAAAACCAAAGTGCTTGGCTATTACTTATTCATAAAATTACTGTTTATATTTTTATTTTATTTTTTAAATTATGTCATATCATATCATAACAGGATCCATGACATTCATTTAATGGTTCACCACTATAGCTGTTTCTGGAGACCTTTCTTCAGTTTCAGGTTTATTTATTTGAAGGTTTTTGTGCCAAGAAGTCTGAATTTATGTTGATTTTAGAGTTCCCAGAAAAAAAGTCAAAATCTATCTATGATCTAGAAATGTGATTCAGTTCATGAAAAGGCTCCCTACCTTTCTACTAACAAGTGAGGAAAAATATAATGTGAACATTATGAGGTTAATCATAATGACATGAAATTAAATGTTTTAAACAATCATCTCTTCCTCCATCCTTAATGATACATGGAAGAGAATCCTACCAAATGTCATTTCCAGACTGTGAAAATCCGAGAACTGGGCCATACTTTGGGACATGGACAGATTTAATTTTGTGAGAGTACCTCCTCCACAGCATTTGGAGTGTGTTGATGTCCTGGGTGGCTGTTCATTTCAAAAGTCACTTTCATGTTTTTAGGCTCTGATCCAGTTTGGAGAGGGAGATGGACGAGCCCCTGAATTTTCTGAGGCTGGCATTGAACTAATGCTGCTTATGTGTGATCAGATGAAACCTTCAGCACAGAGCAGTGGATAAGCTTGGCAGTAGTGCTGCTCAGCTCTCCTGGTATGGCTGCCCATGCTGTTTATTTCCATGTCCTGAGATCCCTGTGCATTTTCTGTAACACTGGAATGTCCTGAACTTAAGGAGGATTATGAGGATGATGCACATAAAGTTAACTGGGTAGTGTTAATGAGACATTTCCCTTGTGTTTCCTGGCTCTTCCTCCTGGCAGGAGTACCACTGCATGGTGGGGGTATCATGCCACCAGGAAGGCAAAATTGAATTGCCAGGAGTATCTGTGAAGAAATTTTACCAGTCAGTGGAGTGTTACAAAGCCATCTGAGTAACTTGCTTAGTTAAGTACTGCAGAGTACTTCACTTGAGAGAAATTGAGATAAACAGTCATCTCTCTCCATGTCTCCTTTTCTGCTGTGAACACAGTGAACCAATCTGATGTTAGCTAGTCAAATATGAATTTGTTGTGGCAGCCCTGGGGTTGTTTACATACACACAGTGCCCTTGAAATAGTAACTAGATGTTAAAGAACAGAGCTCTCAAACTACAGTTAACATGATTTAAATCCATTGAGGCTTCTCCTGAAGGAACCAGCAAGAAGATCAACTACAAAGTGCCTCTGTATGACATGGGGGACAGCAATGTCAGTACAGGAAATATGGGACAAATACATGGGAAATGGATCTGGACAGGGGGCATTTACTTGCTTGATTTTTTTTTTTTTTTTTTTTTTTGTCTTTTTCAGTGCAATTGAGCTTTCCAAAGGAAAATGCAGTCATTCTCAGATCATTTTCCTTAGAGGCATTAGCTAATTTGGAGCCACTGACTACATATATATGATATGATGAAGATTATTTATTCCCATTGCATTACTTTGCAGTGATCCACAGTTAATTTTCATATCCCATTTGCTTGCACAGTCACTCAATATCACAAGATTCTTTGCAGCCACCTTTCAGTTTGAGTGTTTGAACCATAAAGGCAAATATTTTTATCTTGCTGTTCCCACTCTGACACACATTTTCAATAGTGCTCATAGTCAGGCCATTCTACAAGTCCCCCTTACCTTTAGAAAAGGTGACTGTTTTAACATTCTGGCAGTTTCAAAGAAGACAAAGAAAATTAGGACTGTCGTATATTTGCACCCTGGGCAGGAAAGTGATGTTGATGAGTAACTCACTGTAAGTGAACATGTAGCTTTCCTGAGTACAGTATCTTTTCTAGCACTTTTTAAATCAGCTGTGAACATTACTGAGTTTAGAATAAAATTAGTGCTTGAGGGCAGAATGGTTTTTTTGTGGGTGAATTTGAAGTATATTTTTTCTGATAACCTTAGGGCATGTACTTCTAGAAGTTTTTTATTATGTACCATTTTGTACCATTATCATGTATGATAATTATTTTGCACCATTTTATCATGTTTGTGACTTCCTTTTTTGATGATACTAATATAGTTGTAAATTGAGTCATTTTTCAGGTGGGAAGACAAATCCTTATGCAGTACACAAAAATATGATGTATTAAGCAATCAAATATAGCAAGAAAATATAATACTGCAGTGAGTCAAAACACAGAGGTTACAATGACTGTAACAACCTGCAGTGAATAAAACCCCAGAGATTTAATGTTAAACTGCTATCAACCTGAACTCAAGGCCAGATTCTGATTGCCTGCTTTACCCACCTAAGTCTGGTTTACTGACTCTACCCTGGAGGTGTCCAGTTCAGCAAACAGATTTTGGGCATCAGAGTTAAGCCCTAATGTTTCCTGTACAGCCAGAAGAAAGCAATGGAGCAGGGCAGTCAGCTTTGGAAAGTTTCAAGTGCCTAAATGAGCTGCTAACTTTGCTATTGTCTGTCTATAGAACAAACAGTAAAAAATTAAGCATACCAAGAAAACACATGGAGCCTTTGCGAGTGACCTGCCTCCTCAGAATGATTCTTGGAGCATTTTGACTCCCAAGCTCTGCCTGGGAATTATTTGAGGGAGAGCTTGGACTTGGACCCTGTCAGAACATGTCTGGGGAGCTATTCAGTGCTCCTGCACACCATCCAACTTGTTGGAGAAGCATCAGCTTTTCATGGAAGTAAAAAGAAGGATATGAAGAAAAAACTATTAAATGCTGTTTTGAAGCAAGTCTAGGGAAATACCATTTCCTTTACCTCAGCCTTTATTTCTATGGGCATCAAATACACTTTTTTCATAATATGTTGTATTATTCTACGTAATAGTTAGCTTTGAAATATTTCCCTTTCATTTGAAATTAATTAATAAAAAACTCCAAATGTGGGATTTAGGTTAGCTTTAATCTGAGAATCTAGAAAGATCACTTTTAAAATGATTTCTCAATCGTGTCTAAAGAGAAGTTTTTTCTCAGGAGTATATTTGAAATAGAATTGGTATAATGCATTACAGAAATGTTGAGAAATTGAGAGATTTTCAGACTGAGTATTGGACTATTTCCTAAAAGAAAAAAAAATTAAAAATCACTGAAGCACTGTAGGCTGAATATTCCCCAGCTAAATATTTCCCAAATAAAAAATTAATCATTAGTGTTCCCTCAACAGTTCTATAATATGCTCTTCTCGAAGAACTGGGGATGGTCAGAGAGACTGTGTCTAACTTTGTTGAAATCAAGCTTTAAGGTCAGGTACTTGAGAGGTTAATAACTATCACAATTAGAAATTTGTTTCTATTAAAAATCTTTTGCTGTGAGGAGCTTTAATGTAACAGTTACACATACGACCGAGTAAATTCTTAGTCACACTTTCTTGTATTTACCTTTTCATTTATATATTGTCTTGAGTTTCAACACTTCCGGTATATGCAGGTGTATGAATCTATCATTAACAATATAGCAACTTTGAAGTAAATATGAACCCTTTTTTAATACATAAACATAACATCTAATATCTGGAAAATGTTTTAAGTTTCTTTCAATTGCAGGTTAAAAGAACACACCTCTGCATTTCCATGTATTCACTGTTGACAAAAAAAATGTCTCCATTAGTTCTTTTTTCAGTTGAAAAAATATGATTCAAACCTTTTGTTACCACATTCAAGATTAAGTGATCAGATCTGTTGAGTAGTTTTTGAAGGATGTAGTATAGATTTGGGTAATTAGCTAGAAGCTCTTTTTTTCCCATTAACTTGTAGGCAGAGTACTGTCTCCAAAGTGCGTAGACTTATTAGACTTAAAAGTTATAAATTATGTTATCAAAGTTCAAGCTGCTTGATTATACCACACATGTGACATTCTCAAATACTACCAATGCAGTTTCCTTGCTGTCTAAAATAATCAAGCAGATAATGGATTTCACATTTCACAGTAATGGAAAACTGTCAGGAACATTTTGAGGCATTAATGACTGTAGGCTTAATATGCCCTTTAACTGTTTTCATCTGAAGAAGAAACATGTAGCTTTTGCCCTGAGCAGTTCCATCTTTGGAATGAATGTTGCAAACAATATCAGTTAATTTGGTGATGTGCTGATGTGGTTTATATGAATGTCTATACAGTATGGATTTATTTGGGTGCTTCTTCAGAAACTGTCTTTGAATTTATTCACAACAATAAAAGATTTCAGTTTTGCTACTCAGATCTTATTATGTTAGAATTATTTTTATTATCTGCTATGATGCAGACTATCTTGTATATGACAATCCTTTGCAAACAAATGAGAAACAACTTCAGCATCTACTACAGAAAGAATTGTTGCAGCTATTGCAGTTTGTACTGATCTGTGCAAATCATTTTTTTACTTGTTCTCACCTCTATGGGGTAAAGTAGGCCTGCAGTCCAGGCCTTTCATTCCTGAAGGTCAGTACATAATGTGAAGTTTCTTAAATGTTAATAATGTGTCATTGGTTTTGCTATTTTTTTCTCTACCAGTTGGTAACATCATCTGTTAATGATGAATATTAAATGCTTATAAAATTATAAAGGGATTATTTCTAAACAATGATTTGTGTGACTCAAAGACAGTGATGACAAACAAGGTATTTTACATACTTTATTTTTAATGAAAATATTCCTCAAAGGCATGGATCCACTTAACAACTTGCTTAGCTCCATAAAGAAGGAAATAAAGCTCCTCACTTTCTTCTTGCTTATTCTGAAGGTGGAATATTTACCTGATGTCTAAGACAAATAAATTGTCAATAGAATTGCCTTATTGAAGTTTAGGGCTTGACATGCTTCAAAGACCACAGACCCAGAGGGGTAACAAAATTTGGGAGGAAATGTGTGCTACTGCAGGACGTCCAAGATAAGAAGAAACTAACAAAACCAGCTCAGCACAGCTCAGTAATAATAGAATAGTAAACACTGAAGACCACCAGGTCACCCAAGATAAGAAGCAAGCTCAGCAATAACAGAGTAGTAAACACTGAATATATATTAGATGAGTGAAATACATCAAGATTAACAGCATATAAATAGTGGTCATCTTTTCTCCTTGGTGTGCTAACTTTGTGGCTTTGCCATCTAGCACCCATTTGCACAAATATAAAATAAACAAATACCTCAGCTCTGCGTGTGATTGGCTTACTTCACAGTGGGTGATGAACCCTAATTTTTGGTACAACGTACCCACTAAGTAAGAAGATAAAATTGTCACCAGAAGTAGCAGCGTCCTCTTAAATACTGCTTTATGTTCTCGTGAAATAGAAGGCTTAAGTGTAGCCTTGAGAAGAACTTTAAGAGATAAAAGCATGTAGAATTTGTAAAAAAGTTAGACAAATAATACTTTAGAAACCCTGACCTTGAATTATAAAATACAGTAGTATTACACTCAAAGCATGTATTAGAGTTAGAAAAACTCTTAAAAAAGTGTACTCTGCACCTTGCATTTTTCCGTTTGCATTGTTGCATTAAGTTTAAGGCAAAGTTTTATGGTTTTGATTTGGTTTTTTATAAAGAAAAGGATACAAAAATACACTACTAATAAGGCAACTATGAAAAATAAGATTAAATTCACTATACTGAAATGTCCATTATCAGGTATCTTCTGGGCATAGACCAGAAATTAGTATAACATTGTCCACTCCAATTTCACCAGTTTTTCCCTTCCCACGTTCTGATTCAAAAGTGACCTGTCACAAAAAAATACATGTATTAGCAGTGAATATGTAGACTATGCAAACATTTAGCAACTCTTAGTGTTAATTAATTATAAGTCTGTATCTGAGGAATATTTTATCGCAATACAGGACTTAATGACTTAAATCCTTGCTGTTTTTAGAGCTTCCATGTATTATTGGAACTATATTTAAAATCCTCTGTGCAGATTAACAGTACCAAATGGATTACTTTAATAAGATTATTCATTTTCATTGTACAAAGAAAATGCAAATTGAGTGAAATCCTCTTATAATAATGTAGTTTTATCACAGTATGTGATGTTAATGCACTTCATTTATTAAAGACATTGCAACTGTTCATTTTCAATCTATTTGGATCCTCAGGTTTTTTGTGTATATACTATATATATTTACTCTCATGTATTGAGTATAGTATGCATATAACATGGAGATAGGAGGTTCATTTTTATGAATAGAATGCCCAGGGTTTTATTTTCTAGTCTTTTTCTACTTTATGTGAGGGCTTTTCTACGTCATTCCAGCTGTGCAAAGGACCTTGAAAAGGGCTTGCATTTCCTTTATACTCACCATATTCAATTATATGGTAGAAGCCTTTGCACAGCACTGAAAACGTTCAGTCACATAAATGGAAAGCAGGCCCCAGAATGTCAAGGAGAAACCTGCTGAAGTCCTGAGTGAGACAGTTTTCAGGTGTACACCAGTGCACAGTATTCTAAGGTGATTGCCCACCCTTGATTATACATGATGTCTCCTTTTGCTCTAATGGTTTGGCTTAGTGTGGTTTGAGAGCACCCTCTTCTATGAAACAGAAAATTTTCATTTTTCCAGGCATGTATGTAGGCTTCTGTTGCATGAGATATTAAGGAGAGATTTTGCTAACTTGTGTTAATTTATGATGTGATGCAGTTTTTTTACAAAATGACAGAATTCCTGGTGTCAGTGCTCTAATCGATTGTGATAATTCACTTCTGAAATTACAACCAGGTGATAACTTCTCTGCCTCCTAAAATGTGGGCTCCTGTTTCCCCTTTCAGATAAGCCTTTCGATTGCTGATGCCTGTAAAACAGTTGAGGGTCAGGAAATTAAACTGTTGTGTTGGTTATGGTAATTGGCTTATAAATTCTGTTATACTTACATTGTTAGTTGTCTCAGCTCCCTGAAATATCTCTATTTTTCCAGTTCTCCACCTTTCATCTTTTCCTGTGTTCTGCTCCCAGACAGGAGCAGTTTTTTTGTTTGCCAGGAACACTCGAAGTTTCCCCACTTTCTCACCAGCAAGCCGATAACTGAAAATCAAGCAGTAGCTGCTCTTTGGTTTCAGGTCAGTGAGAAGAAGTTTTAGACGCCCCATATCCTTCTTATGTCCCACAAAAGCTGGAACTGCCATGTAGTACCCGTCACCTTGTAACACAAAAAAAACAGAAAAAAAAAAAAAAACCAGAAAAAAAAAAAGCATCTTTAATGGATTTGTGTTATTTATGAGCAAATTGAATACATCTCCGCTAAGAAAATAAGGGGAAGCTAGTTTACTTGAATAATTTAAAATCAGACTGGAGAAAAGCAGCAGGGAGTGTACTTTGCGAGGAATAAGCTTGTACGGTTGGAAGTCAGATCAGTTTACAGAGGAGATGAGTTCATATTTCACTGGCAATTACAGTCATTCTTCCTCGCAGTATCTTTCTAAGGCAAAACCATCTGTTTTTCAAATGCAACAGCCTGAAACATGCTGCTGTGCCTCTGTGGTCAGATAATTTCAGTACTTGAACTAGCTCAATACTCTCTCCGCTGTCCTCTGCACTGAGGAAAAACTCTTAAAGGAACTGATAGCTTATTCCCCAGGTCCTGGAGGACCAATGAAGTGACAGACAAACACAAAAAGTGACGAAGGAATAAGACATCTGGGCCCATAAATAAAGTCATAATCAGCAGATGTTAGTTCAGTGAGACAGAGTAAGGCCAGGATAAGGTCTTCCTGGAAGTGACAGCACAGATAAGGGATTTTGAGAATTACATGGAGCAGGAGAGGAAGAATTAATGAAAAAAGACTGGGATGGAAAGACTATGAGGGAAGAGGGAGAGAATGTGCATGAAGGAACTGGAGCAGTGGCCTGAAGGATCTGTAGGATGCACTGGCCCCTACTGCAGCAACTTCTGCAACATTTCCTGTGTCACAGGGGAAAAGATATCCTTTCAAACAAATTCTTCCAGCCACACCTTTTTATGTACACCCACACAGCAGTCACATATTGCACCCATGGAGCTCTTTCTCAGGTTTATGCAGGCCTCCTCTTGGTACCTGGTCAGGTGTTGGTTGTTCTTGAACAGCACCTTGCCCTTGGCTCATTCTGAGGAATGTTGTCACAACTTTGCCTTGCAGAGTTTGAAACTTCTGAGCAGCTACCCAAGTGATCTAAGCCATGTGAGTGACTGCATTGCCACACCCACCTAAATTATGGATGTGTGATTAAATGACTTGCCAATCTTGGAGAGACACAATATGTAGCTGCTAAGGTTTCCATTGCCTTGTACCTTGCAATTCTGAACAGTTATGTTCTAATAATTTTTCTTACAATTTGATTAATTTGTACTGAAATATGTTGCTGACTACCAGTTGTTACTGGATATTTCAGAGAAATAATATCTACTCCCAGTATCCTCTGCCTCCTTTCTTCTTTTATAAAAATAACCCATTGATTAAAAAGCTAATTTTTTGATTCTGATTCTGGTTCCCCTCCCTCCCACATTTTTTTGAGAGGGTGAGCCATCAAATCAAAGCCTAGGTAGAGGACTGATATTTAAATACCTCTATCACGATCAGCAGGATTCCAGTCAAAGTCATCATCAGCATCTTGTTTCCAGTCACAGACTCCTCGACTGAAGCTACAATCAACTGGAAAAAAAATTTGTCAAAGAGAAACACTATATCATGGGTACTGTTAAAATAATTTGCTCATTATTCATACCACTATTAATGTACAGGTAATTCTAAAATTATCTGTAATCTGAGTTCACATAGTCTTGACCTAGATTACATTGCAAAAAAAAAGCAAAACATTAGCATTTATGTAGTAATCCTTTCTTTAACTCACAGGAAAATCTGTTGTGGCTTTTTATTGTCAACCTTCCACCTGCACATGAGTTTATATGCTATGACTGCTGTATACTGAGTATCTGCTGATCCCCAAGTGTAGTTGGAGGTGTTAGTTTTGAACTCCAGTGTCAGAAATGGTTTGGGATCTGGCAAATTTAGAGCTCTCCTCTCCATTTGTTACACTGCTGTAGTTGTAATCAGCTGAGATCAGCTCCAGTTCTATCCGTTGAGAGAAGCTGGCCTCCCATGAGCAGAATTCCTTATGTCAGTACTTGATACTCCTACTACATGGAGCTGGGAATAGCCCAAATCAATTGACCTTTAGAGGGTTCTGAAGGATGAACTGAAAATGGTGTCACCCAGAGCACACCACAGTCTTCATGACTGTGGAGATGAAAAGCATTACATGCACAAAAGAAACTTCAAAGTGCATGAAGCCATTTTCTAAGGCACAGTAGAAGCTTAAGTTGTGTATATAAATTAACAGGTCTTGGACCTTCTGTGCTCCCCTGATTTTGTAATGATTTTTTAATGTGAAAAAGAACAGGTAGCATCATCTTACTGTGATATCCATGAGACTTACTGATGAATAGGGAACTATCACAAATTCATAGCCAGGCTACGTAAGATTCAGGGTGAATATTTATTCAGTCTTGTGCAGGGAAAACTCCTACTGACTTCTGACAGAGGACCAGGAGTAAAACCAAGATACAGCAGACAGACATTGGCATATTATTGTGTGTCATGGAATGTGTTCTCATTTTTTATATGATAGAAATTACTTTTTTTTTATGATTATGAAATTATTCAAGTGAAATTCAATTACAAGTCAGGTTCCAATGTGGGGAAACTTTCTGTATATGGATTATAAACAGTTCTGTTTGGAAAAGGACATAAAACCAGCTTCTCACATGGGAACTGGCAGAATGGTTTGGCCAGATACTGTCTCTAACATGTTCACCAAATCTTTGGTTTGTGTTAAAGGCTTTTAAACTCATTCTGACTTGCTTATATAGGTTGTCATGAAAATATACAACACATAAGAAACTAAAAACTGTAGAAAAAAAATAATCTACCTTCTTGCTCTGGTCTTGACACTGGAACTTTTCTGTGTGCCAGGTGAGGGCCAAAGGCAGCTGCTTCTTTCACCTTGGGAACTAGGGAAAACAACTGGTCAAGTGCTGAGTCATCATGGAAACAGAAAATGGAACTTTGTTTCTTTATACCAGATGTCATAATTTATTTAAGTGAGTCAATGTATGTATTTTCCACTCCACTACCAAACTCCCATTCCTAACCCCAGTCAGACACTATGAATTTTAAAACTTGGTAGATGTGTCTTGTGCCAAACTGGAAGAGTCAGTACAGCAATGAATGTTAGGTGCATCCTCCAAGACACTGGTCTGAAGGAGGTACTTACTTAAGAAACATTATTTTTCAGCAATAGCATCAGAGACCAAGGGAAAACCTCTCCTGTCTGGTGAGGTGTAAAGTTATAGAAGCTTAAGTACTCTTGTTTACGCTGAATAATACTCTGAAATACTGTAAGTATTTTAAAGTTCTGTGATTAAGCTTCTTTTGTACTATTTTAAGTGATTAATATAGACGTGCACTTAAAAATAATGACAATCTCAACTTCTTTATGCATATTCTGTGTAAGTAAATAATCACACATGAGAGAAAAGATCTGCTTTCACTGGTAGAGGATTCTATTCTTTGCAAACATATAAGCAGATGATACCTGTTATATATTCATGCACACCTCTGAAAACAGGAGGAGCTTAAATGTGTCGTTTCAGAGGAGGAATGAGGGAAGATCCTCTGGATTACTGCTTACAGAAGGTGTTAGTGGAAAGTCCAAAAGACTGAAATTCACTTTTCAGCCACACCCTGTGGGCCTCTGTGCTAAGGAAAGCTCAGACTGCCTCAACAATTCCAGATGATAGGAGCTTTGGAAATTATTTTTCCCTACTCAGCATTGTATCATATATGCAAATGCCAAATATTTTAAGAGTCATTACTTTCACATGCATGCACATTTGTTCAGAGGGGAGTTTTTTTCCCATGAGTTGAACTGAACTAGTGATTTCCATCTAAATACTCCGATATACAGTTGTAAACACATACTCAGTTTTACAAATATACTTGGAACCCAATGGAATCCAGAGCCTCTTAGCACCATAAAGGCTAAGCCATCTACTCAATCTTTCTTCTCCTTCAAAACTGTAAAAAACTGCTTTGTGAACACCAGTGAAATCACACTCTTAACGAAGAGGCCCTGGAGGTATTTCCAGAGGTGCTGAATTGAGCTGAGAAAGAAGACTCATGCAATTTTATGAGCTTTCTGTTGAATTGCCAGGAGCGTGTCCTCTCTTGTTGTCCTTGCAGCCTTCCCCTCACCTAGACCGTTTCTTAGATCGCTTGGATAATATTCTTACTTAAGGCAGGGGTTAATACAACTTTCTCCAAATTAATATATATCTACATATGCACAATTAGGAATAGGCACATAGACATTAGGTGTTAAGTTTACTGTCATGCCATAAACTTGGCCTCATAGTTAGTGAAAGAGGCTCAGGCTGAGAAAATCCTTGCCAAAATGAAGAGAGCTACTAAAATATGATCAGTTCTGGAGAGAGTGATTTAACGGAAGACAACAGCTGCCAGCATGATTTATTTGTGAAGTTATTGAATTACACTTGAATTCATTTGAGGGATATACATGCAGGTGTAGCTGTGTGCTATCAAGTGAAGAACTGTCATACAAAGAAAAAGAGTCCAGTTTTGTATCCAAATCTATTTTTGTTTTCAGTCAGGCATGACAGTCAGGTTTTCCACTTACTGAAAGATATCAGCTGCTTATTATGAGAAACTGTAAGCTTCAGCTAAGAGAAAGGTTTCCAAGAAACCTTACTGCTTGGAAAATTCCTACCTTTTACATCAAACCATCATTACACATAGCCAGGATACAAAGTTTACTCCCTGTTAAATAGTAGGCAGGAGTCAAGATTACTCTTTTTAGCTCTTCTGCTACCAAGCGGTCTTGTACAAAGGCAGGCCTCATTCCATGTTCTCTAAGAACATACTGTCACCAGTGAAAGTGCATGTAGTCCCACTTAGGCACAGCAGAGTCCGTCCTTCTTTCTGTACTGCTGATGCCCTCCCATCTGCTTACCTGCAGCACTAGCTACTATGAAATCTCTACATATAAACCCCTTCATATGTTGGTGCACACATTCTTAACCATTCATGTCATCATGATACTCTTATCAAGTAAGATGGGTTGATCTTCAGAGCCAGAATTAGTGGCAGAACCCATGTAACATACTACTATCAAATTCCACAGGAATTGTGTCTATGAATGTCTGTGACAAGCTGAGCATAAAAAAATTGGAGGTGTTCTGATCCTGAAAACAGCCAGCTCATTGCTGACACAGGTTCTTGCATCTGCAGGAAATTCAGTGTTGCTACCTGCAACATATATCTTTGAGCCATGCCAGGTGTAGTTTGTCAGTTGTGTTATACATCAGGAAGGGCAGCAGGGAAGGAAACACATCCTTTTATACAGTGTACAGCAGTGCCCTCCTAGAAATGCAGGCAAATACCAGTTCACTCTGCCTGTCAGACAGAATTGTTAGCACTCGTCTGCCAATTGTGCCAACTTGGAGCACTTGAGTTCTTTGGAGCTGGGTTGCACCTGGCGTGCTTGGAGTACAGCTTGGGTGAGCTGAGGGCTATCTGAAAAGTGCCACATAGATAGACCCTCAAGTCAGTCTGTAAGTCAAATAAGGGCCAGTGAGATCACAAAAGCAATAGGAAGCTTCAGGAGCACATCTGGAAAAGCAGTGCTTGGAGTAAACTACAGCATTTAAAGGTTCAAAGTAAAGAAAAAACAACAACAGCAACAACAACAAAAACCCAGTTGAAAACTGAGCCCCCTAACACAACAAGCAGAAGCTTAGTAGAGCAAGTCTGTGGAGCACTGTTTTATGGACACCCCTCAGGAAACAGTACAAAAGCACTGTTAAGCATCTGGTAAGTGACTGATGCTAAAGGAGCTTTCTGAAAACACTGATAGATTTTCCTTTCTGTGAACTTCATTTCACCTCTTTGCTTTGCCAAATGCTGTATATAAAGTCACTTATAGTGCATTTGGAAATGGTATTTTAGTCTGAAAAAATATGGCTTTGTTTATAGCCTGAAAGTAATTTTCTATTTGTCTGCAGTAATGCATGTGCTATCCTTAAAGCTTTGATTCCTTTTTTCCCCCCATTATTGTGACTGTATTTTTTTATAAAGCATCTGTGGCATCACATTGAACTCTTGCTGAGGTGGCTATACTGGAAGAGAAGATATATAGCAGAATATGTATTTAAGTGTGCTAGTTGTGGGCAATGTGGTATATTTTAATTTCTTGATACTACTCTTTGAATTTTTTTTCCCCTGGAAAATGCAGGTGGCTGTTTTTGCCTAGGTAGTCTAGTTAGTCTAGTTAGTCTAATGTAAAAATAACATACTGAATTTGGGAAAAATAACTAGCTCTTGGTAATTCTAAAACATAGAATATAAAGTACCTGAAACTGCAGCATGTGAGAACTCTCACAAAAATTGTACTTGCTGTGTTCTCTAATGTTCAAAGCTCATTAAAAAACCCAAACAAACAAACAAGCAAAACCCCAGAAAACTAGAGTGAGCACTGTAAAAAAATCAAGCAAAATATCAGAAGTAGTAAATTTAAGACTAGCTTCCTATATATACAGTATATCACTATGTCAGACTTGAAGGAATATACCATATCTCTGCTACCACATCCTGCTCTGAAAGAATTACATTTGCCAGATGTCCACCATCTATAGCTCTAGACTGAGATGTGGTCTGAGCATTATAGCTCACAGAGTGGTGTAATTATCAGAAAAGTATAAGATTAAGAACAAACATCATGATTAACTGAGAGAGAGCCCTTGTTCAAAATTAAGAACCCTGAAGCCGTAAGAGAAACAGTGCACTTTTAATATTGCCAAATAAACCAGAACCCAAAACCTCTTGGTGCTACCAAAGGAAATGTCTCTGTAATAACACAGCTGGTTACATGATACTACGGAAGTTTCAAGCATGATATGAGTTTCATAAACTGATAAAATAGAGAATATAGAATTTAGTTGCAGTTGGCAATACCATTCTGGATTACCAATGGTACTTGAAAAGCACTGAAATGTTAGAAGCTGTCAGAATTAAGGTTGTGCTTAATCAATGAATTAAGTGTAGCTTGAGTGTAGCATCTCTACAATCACTGCTTATACAACCAAGTACTTTGGTCCAGCTTTCTGTATCTTCTTCCATATGTAGAAAGGACATTTCTCACAGAGTAAGGAGCTTGCCAATACCTTGCTTTACTCTCATTTTCTATACATCTGCAACTTTTACAATAAATAGGACACATTTATTGAACTATTTATTTTAAGAATTATTAATAAAAATAATATTGATAAATAATTAGTCTATTGATAAATAAATATTCCTATTTATTAAACTATGCCTTTCACAACAAAACATATCCTTCCTTCACACTGAACAAGGCAAAGATCCCATGGAAAATAGTAATTTGAAGTCATTAGAGACTGTATCGTAAGATAAAAATATAAGGAAAAACATTTTCATGGATGTCCTTAATTTTGATATTTGATATTTGTTTTATCTCTGAACAATGAACACTACTCAGGATGGTAAGCATGCCTATCAGAAGTCAAGGCTAATTATTGTCTTATAATCAAGCAGCACACGATCTTGTTTTGCTGGAACTTCAGTGAAGAAAATGAGGAGAAGCTACCTGTAAGATTCTCTGAAAGCACAGCCTGCAGAGCACCAGTCAGGATGGTGCAGGCCCCCTCTGCTCACAATGACTGCAGGCTGATTCCCTACAAAGGAGATTTGATACCTTCAGTCTAACCAGTAGCTATGCTAGATTGCTTTTTGTACAAGGGCATGTAGTGATAGAACAAGAGGGAAAGGCTTTAAACTGAAAAAGGGTAGGTTTAGTGTAGATATTAGGAAGAAATTCTGAACTGTGAGGGTGGTGAGACAGTAGAACAGGTTGCCTAGAGAAGTTCTGGATGGCCCATTCCTGGAAGTGTGCAGGGCCAGATTGGATGGGGCTTTGAACGACATGGTCTAACAGGTGTCCCTGCCCGTGGCAGGGGGATTGTAATTAGATGATCTTTAAGGTTCCTTCCAAACCTAACCATCCTATGATTCTGTGATTCATTTTCTACAAGTAAATTCTGCTCAAGAGTCTATGATGTTTTGTAGTGGTTTTGTTAGTGTTTATATATATTCTTATATTGAAGCCAGATTTTTTTTAAAACAAAGAAACTTACAAAAGACATCTCCTCTAAGGCTTTGCTCGTCATCAATTTGATTCTCAAAGTCTTCCTTCTCCTCTTCATCTGACTCTTCTGCCTCCTGTTCTGTAGTAGCTTCAATTTCTTTCTCTTCCTCACTGTAGCTCCCACCAAGACCAAGACCACCTTCATAGTCCAATAACTGCAAGTGGGTCTTAGAAGGCGATGTCACCGCTGCCTCTGGGATCACATTCTTGATTGTTTCATGCTTTTTCACACTATTTTTATGTGCAAGAAGTTTCTTAATTGTGTCCTTAGCTGTTCCAGGGATTCTTGCAATTTCCTTTACTGACTTTTCAGGGATAACTAGAACCAAGAAGAAAATAGTGAATATTCATCTAGGGAATCATTCAGCAATGACAACATTTTTAAATAGGACCGTGATGTCCTTTACAATGTCTAGAGACCCATACAGATGAATTCTCTATTATGAGATACAAGTTCAGCTCTGCACAGAACCGAACACACGTGCATGTGTTCAGCTCTTTATGTGCTGTGTAGACAGATCTCTGTCTGAGTTACAGTGAAAAAAACCAAAGCGATCCTCTGTCATGAGTGCCTTGGACTCCTGTGTAACACAGGCCATTACAGTCCCTTACATTAATTATTTTTACACTGAAGTTTGTGTTAAAAAAAAAAAAAAAAAGGAAAAATAAATCCTGCTTCAAATTGTGAACTACTAAAAATTGTCTGTGGAGGTGAGATTCCCTGCACAACTGTCAGCTTACTAATAATGACGAATTTTCTTAGCTATCTTTTGTGAACTTTTCTGGCCTAATTTTCCTTCCATGATAGGCTGAAAGCCACTGAAATAGAGCATATTTTGAGAAGACATACATCAAGGTGCTCCATCATATTTCATTTAGCTCTAAGGGGTAAACCCCAAAATTCAGAGAGGCATCCAAGAATGGCAAATTATTATCATCTTGCAATTCCAAGATGGAGTAGAACATAGATGTAAAATTTCCTCAGATTTTTACTATTTTATGATTCCTCTTGGCCATGAAATACTATAGGTTAACCTTTTGATAATCTGGTATTATCCTTTTAGTTATCCTGATATTATCCTTTTGGATAATACTAACTGTGGGAAACTAACTATCTTTTTGAATAACCATTCTTGTAGTATCTTGCAGCTTTGGATCCTGCTCAAAAACACAAGGGCTGCCAGAGGTGAAAACTAAAAAGTAGGATAAAAGTCAATCAAGACTCTTCAAATCTGCAAAATGAAAGAAAATTCTGAATTTGGATTTTTACCTATTATGAAGTATAATGAAGTCCATAGAGTCTATATTCAGGCACAAACTTCAAAATATTAATTGGTAAGAGGACATTTTTACATTTACATGGCAGCTTTGATTTTCTAATCATGCTTTCCTTGTCAATGCATTGAGTTTCAGGACACAAGCCATTTATTTCTTTTAGAATTCAAATTTTTTTCTCTCTACAATCACTAAACTATGTTTGGATGCTTGAATGAGGGACATTTTTCATAGGAATGCATTTGAAGTTGAATTTCTAGGCATGTGGGGAGGCAGGATTGATTTTCCACCAGTGGTGGGACCTAGTAGCAGAACAAAGGGCTCCTTTGAGACAGTATGGTGGGCAGCTGTTCTCCATGTTCTCTTGAGATAGAAAAATTATCAGTTTACATGAAACAAGATATTTTAGTTACGTATTATGAAAAACTTGCTTACTATCCTTGCTTTAGGATAGTGAAACACAGGAGCAAGCCTCTTGGGTTATTTGAACTGTATCATTACAAGTTAAAAAATTGTTAGGCTACCATCTGTCATTAATATGCTGGATATGATCTGCCTCAGAGCAAAAGAACAGCCTAACTGATCTTTTTTAGTCCCTTCCAGATGTACTCTTCTCTCATCTGACAAAGACTGATGGCTCTTTGTGCTCATGACCAAATCATAACTGAGGGTTAAAGCCAGGAGTACTTTGGATAAGTTTGTTCAAGGTATGTGTACAGTACAAAGCAAATTCAAATGAGAAATTATGGCAATACTGCAGGTGTTTCCTTTTATCAGCAACATCAGTTGCTGCTCAGCATCAGTCAAGAACATCATTGTGCCAAAATAAGATCTGAAAGGGTTTGTGTGACAAGTATGCAAGTTTCAGAGAAGATATTAATCTGAGAAGTTCTAGTTTATGAGATGATCACATCCCATCATAAGGTCATCATAAGACAATGAGGCTTTTGAAACAACTGAATTTCCTTACTGCTATGACATGACCAACTCAGTCCTCTAGTGCTGAGTACAGCCTGAATCTGAGTGGGTGAGGAGGAAGAACTGGTAATTAGGAAAGAATTAACGTGTCATAAGCTACTGACAGCCTTCTGTAGTTTGAGTCCTGTACGTGAAGTACCTGGGAAACAATGAGAGTTGAGCAGTTCCAGGGTGCTCTGCAAAAGCTCTTCCATAGAGAGAGGCTATGTCTACTGGTGGGCCTTATATACTGCTTTCTGTCTTTAATTCTTGATCAGCATTGATGCTGCAGTACCTACAATCTTTTTGGGTTGAAAATAATTGGGGAAGTTGGCTATTTTTATTTCCCTCTGCTTTTGCTGTCTAGTGATTTTATTAACAGAACAAGAATATGCTCCTATTTTGCTCCTTGCTGTGTAATAATGAAAACTTCATAGTAGTATTTTGGGACAGATGTACAGGACTTGTAACCTTGGGTAGTACTTTTTTTCTGTGCGTTTCTTTTCATAGAGACATAGCAGAAGAAAAAACACCAACTAATAAAACATAATTGTGAACTAGTAAGAAAAGGGGAAAGTTCTCTGAATTTATGTTCACTCCTGGAAAACGGAATTGTATTGTGGTGAATTTGTCACATTTTATTTATGGGAAGTACAACTACATGCTATCTAGTATGTCAGGAACAGAATGAGACTCTCTTGGTGTGCTCATTGAAGCATTGAGGGTTTTTTGGAAGTTGCAGTTGGAGTAAATGAATGCCAATAAAACCAAAAACTGAAGATTTTTTTTCTTTTCCTTTGTATAAAACTTGAAGCCTTGACTGTCAAAATACTTGCAAGTATACTCTTTACTAATATTCCACTAAGTGTCCTCTGGAGGATGATGTCATGAAGGATGTAAGGTTTTCTAGGCCTAAACTCAGAATGTAGCAATAAAATTAACAGGAAAGTTTAATTCCAAACAAATTTCCTCTTGACAATCAGTAACAAGAAACTTCACGCTATTAATAAAGGCTATGGGGATTTTCAAAGCAGGGCTGACTGCTCAGCAAACCTGAACATCTGCTTTTAGTTTCTGCTTTGAAGTCTTCCTTGTGAAATTATAAATTCTTACAGCTCAACATAATAACTTCTGTGGTGTCAGAAAACCAATCTCCCTGTATGTGCAAAATTAAGACGTGCAGAAAATCAAATGATGGGAGTGACAAAAACAGGGAGATGAAAATGTCTGAATTCCCATGTGCTTGCAGACTCCAGGTTGCTGCTGCACTATGAAAATCTGCTCATGGGGACAAAAGGGATGAGACAAGAAGCACATTTTAGGACATACCAGTAGTCCCCTTCTTATCTGCAATCAGCTTTAGAGTAGCTGGAGATGTGCTTTTAAGGTTTTTTTATGTCTGCACATACATTGCAGGAGGAATAATCCAGTGTAAGGTTACCCCACCTTAAAGTCAGTCTGTTCTTTTGTTCTTGTGGACTTGCCTGAATGAGCAACTCACCGTCTCTGGCAATTTGGGTTGCTACAGCTAAGGGAGTGATTCTTCAGGGCCCTTTGCGCCAGGAATGGAGATAAACGTAGAGGTGTTGGTCACAAATATTTAAGCACATGACTACATAGAGAATTTTGGAAAGTGAGAATAAATGTAGTGCATTTCATCCCAGCTCTTGCTTGTGTACCTACCATCAGGAAGCATGCAGATTAATGCCTCCTGCTCCTACAGTTTGTGTTTATTGCCCTAACGTGAAAATATCTCGATTTTCAAAGGCATTTTCTTTCTTTGAATTAGAGAGAATTAAAGCAAGAGGTAGAAAAACAAAGGCAAATGGTGGCTGGGGGATAAAAGTAAATCTTTTCTTTCATCAGTTGCTGTACAAGATTATGAAACCATGGAAACGGATTGGTATAGGATGTCTAATGACAAGTTGCAAAAATTGAGTAGAAAATAATAAAGAGTAGATGCCAACCCCTGTACTGCGTGCTGCATTGTATAAAGGGAAGTACTCAGGGGATGATACAGGAGAGGGACAGACAGTGATCCATTTTCCTTCCACACACCCTGTGACCACAGCCAGTACTGGCCAGGGCTCTGAGTGTACAGGAGATGCAGAAGGAGAGAGCTTCCTCTGCACTCCAGCAGGCTCCTCACTGCTTCCACCTGCACACCTAGCAATATATTTTAAAACCTGATGAGAGACTAGCCTAGGAAAGTAGTTTACAAATCCTTTTGTAGCTCCCGTTGTATATTGACATTTAGATATCCAGCAAAACATAATGAAGAGCAGTAACCCCTGCCTCCAGCCCAGCAATAAGAAGAGTGTGTCATTGTTGAGCTCCCTAGAGTGATGCCTGAAGGTTGTAGACAAAGTTAGTAATCCTTTTTCCTGTTATTTTGTAGTACCAGAAAAGGTGAATCAAAAATAGGTTCCTTTTTTCTGCAGGAATCTTAACTGCTTATGGAACCTTGTGAGACTGTATTCTTCAATAAAAGTTGAAATATGAATAATAGTATGTGGCAGGGGAAATGTGGGTTTTCAATGCACAATAGAAAATCAGGAAATACATGAACCTGAGAGGAGCAACAGATTGCAGCAAGAGAGAGACCAGATGTGGAAATGGCTACGAACTTTTTAGGGATCATTCAAAAGGTTATGTCTCTATGGATTCTCAAATTAGATGGGCTAGAGACAGTTCAGAAACAGCCTCTAGTGTTTCATGCAAATTAGGAGTGTTAAATGGCAAAAAGGTGCCTGAAAAATCACAGGTCATATCCATACCAGCAGTAGTATTTGCTGTCTGATGTTTCAACTTTTTTCTGAGTTAGCATAATGACATACAAATTGAATGAAAGAATTTACCCCACCTTGTGTGCAAAGGTGAATTATATATTACCTCACTTATTAGGTTATTTGGTGGCATGAGGAGATGTAACCATAGGCATTTCATTATGAACAATGTACTTAGTTACTCTCTTTTGATACTCCAAAAATTAAGCTATATATTAAAATATTTTTCATTTGTTATAAAAAGCAAATACTGCTGCCATGGTAACCAATTTGTTATATACGAGAGGCAATTGCTACAAAGCATTAATGCTTCCCTATGAAAACAGGATTGCAGCCCTGTGGGGATACTTATGTAGAGTACTGAGGACATGTTTAAGAAGCCTTTCATTTAACTGCAGCACAACTCCAGGCCCATCTGTTGAGAGCTGGGATGGGACACAGAAGCTGTAGCTGCTGTCAGCAAAAGAAGTGTGAAGCCCCCAAAAAAGCCTTAAGCCCTTAATTTCCCAGGATGGTGTCCTCATCCTATTAAATCCAAAGCAAAACTTTCAGCTTCAGTAAAGCCAAAGCTTTTCTACAATTGCCATATGACATGGAGAACACTTAATGTTTCAGTGTACTGTTTGGTACACCGGTACATCCAATTGGTGTTTGTGTTACTGTTGGAAAAAAACATTTTCCCCAATAGCAAGACACGTGTCCTGCCCTCATCAGTTATACTGGTCAGACTTTTTTGAGGATTGCAGTAAAAATCAACTATTGAAACATTCAAAGCTAAAAGAATCTCCTCCTCTTCCCTTTAAATAAAAGGTGTATGTGGGGGAATGCCCACAAGAGAAACCAGTCTCCCTTTAGCACCACTGCTTTTCAGGTTTTACCTACCACTGATTTTAGTATTTTTCTCCTCCTCAGTTGTTGTATATATCTGTCTAGCTAGACACTCACCTTTTGATCTTCTGCCTGTAGTTGTGATTTCTCTCATTACTATGTGTTATTCTTCTATCCTCTCTCATAGTAAATCACTTTTCCATCTAGTGTATTTTGCTAAGTTTATGAATGCATGCCTCCTTCCTCTGCTAAGCAACTAATGGACTTCAGTAATTGGAAAGATGACATTAGGAAGTAGTTAGAGAGAGGGCAAATAATGTAAGAGAAACATCAGTGAGAAGATAGGAATCACATGACTTCAGGACTGATTTTTTTACAGGGCTAGACATTAAAAAACTGCCTCTACACAAGCAAAAATATTTCCATTGTTCATATTGAACTGTTTCTGTTTGAGGAAAGAATGTTTTATACATGAACTTAACCAAAAAGAGATTGGAAATTGTCAGCATCTTAATAAAAAGAAAACAAACACACAAACAAATGAAAAAACACAAAAGAGGTAATTTTGCTCAGAGACATATTTCATCAGTGGTACATTTTGTTTTAACAGGACTATGTCAAAATATGTCATGTCAGCTTGCTGTGGTGTTCATTCAGGTCTCAATCCCCCTTACTGTATCCTTCCACTGCAGTAAACTGCAGTGACATATCACAAGGGATGTGGTCTAGCAAGGAAACTGCCTCACGACATTGAATTTGGGCAGGAGAACCTTACAAACAGCTCTGCTGTGGCAATCTATGTCCAAATCAAACCTTTTGGTACCAGTCAGGTTTTTGTGTGTTTATTTTTGCTCATTAGAGATCAACATTTTTTACTGGAAATAGGAATTTAACAAAATGGTATGATACTTGGGGCTGTCCTGTGCAGGGCCGGGAGCTGGACTTTGATGATCCTAGTGGATCCCTTCCAACTCAGAAAATTCTGTGATTCTGTGAAAATACTAACTTATAAATGTGTATTGGAAGTTGCAATTACTATCATAATGGGAGTAGGAACATGGGTAACAGAGGGTCTCATAGAACATCTGTGACCATGAAATATAATCATAATATACATATCTGATCAAAGATTACTTGAAAAAGGCCCAGGAAGGTCTACATATATTATGTAGAGTTCATTTGCTATAGACAAAAACTTTTAAAAAGTTTGTACAGGACTCAGATGTCCTCCCTAGGAAAACATCTCTAATAGTGCAGGAGAAACCTCTGCCAGGTTTAATACAGGTATAAATAAAAAGGTTCATTTTAAATAGAAAGAAATGAGCAGCCTTTCTTTCTTTCTTCTTGAAGGGTCATATTCAGTTAGAACTGAATGGGCAATGACATCTTTATAGGAAGTCTTCAATATTCAGTAGAAAAACAAAGGCAAAATTTTAAGGGAAAAGAGTTTAACACAGAAGTCATAGCTTTCCTCTCTTTTCTCATTTTTTGCTAAAGTAGCCTGAAACTCTTCTGGATGGAACTGCACAGCTCTCCAAAGGGCTAGCCTTGGGAGTTCATGGAAAATTCACGGTATGTTTTTAAAGCTGTGTTCTCTGTTTCTTCATGACAAATACTCTTCTCTGTTCCATTTGTGACTCCTAGAGATACTATGAGACTTGAAGACTCATGGGCAAAATTAATTTGGACAATTAATACCTGTACTAACTATCCCATGACTCCTACAATTAATATTTTTTTGTTGAGATGTCTTGCTTGGTTGGTATTACAGCACTGTTCAGCATGACATTTCCAAGAAAATACCTTAGAATGATCAATTGTTGGAGAAAAACAATATAGTGGTATTCCTGACACTCAGTGGTACTCACCAGCACAATCAAATCCAGTTCCTCGGTAGCCCTGTTTACATTTGCACTTGAAGGATCCCTCAGTGTTGAGGCACTCTGCATGGAGGTTACAGCTGTGTGTATTTGTCACACATTCATTCACATCTAGGGAGAGATATAAATGCTTTAGTGAAAACCCAAGGTTCATGACAGCCTGTTTGTGCCAGGCATCTGTTTCCAGGTGTTGTAAGCACTAACATTGGACCAAGACCATCCAGTGACCATCAGGGGCAGAAGAATTCACAGCAGGAGAGAATGCTGAGTGTCAGCTCCACATGCAGAGCTACTGGTATATGCATCCATGGAACATGTAGAGCATCTCAGTGAAGACAAAGTGAATGTAGTGATTTTCTGACTGAGAACAGGATTCAAGCCATAGGTTGAACACAGAATGCAAAAGGCACCAAGAGAATGTGTGACATCAGTTAAAAAACAGCTCACCAAAACTTCCTCAGTCTTTCATTCACTGTAGAAGAAATGCAATGGAAAGAAAATCTGAGTATACCAACATATTAAGATCTTTAATTTACCTCTAACATTCCAGCATACATATAATGCTGGATGAAAAAAAATAATCAGGAAAATTCAGTAGAAAATACTACAGTCAACTCAAAGAAAAACGTAAAAGCACGAAGAGTATTTCATTTTGTTCTTCTTTTCCTTATTTTTCTCCATCACAAAGATATTTCTGATTTCTCCCACGAGAATGGGAGCACAAATGTTTGCATCACTGGCATTTTATCCAGATTGCATAATTTTTAGTAGCTGACAGGTCCTCTCATAATGTAAGTCAGCAAACAGACAAGTAGCAGGAAGACTGACTCAAAAATCTGGTATGTCTGAAAGTGAGACTTACATTTGCAGATAAAATCCTGACTACTGAGACCTCTCCAGTTTTTCCCCCATCCACACATATTGTATGAGAAAATACTTTTTCCACTTTAAGACTCTCAGGGTTTGCAGAAAACAAAGAATGAAAATTTAAGTCTCTGAACCTGCCTCATGATCTCCCTCCCACCCCTCAGTCAATATCAATCAAATATAAACAAAACCTATGAGTTCTCTTTTTATGCACTTGTAGTAGTTCTAACCCTTCCAGGCCCTTTTATAGTCAACAGCTTGAACAATACTCCTGTGACACCTGCTGCAGAAACTTATGCTTTGCTGTTCTTCCATCATTCAACTAATGGATTGAAACAGGAGTAAAGGTGATTTGACATTTGTTTTGACACCTGAGCATGTCAAGATAACTTTTGGGCTGTATTTATTTTTGTTAGAGAGAAATTTGGCATGCAACAGAGACCTGAAAAGTAATTGAAACCTACTATTTTCACACTTTTTTTTTCCATGTTCTGTACTGTCCATCCAAACAACTTGTTTTAAAGTCAGGAAGGCCCTTGATTCACATTCCTCAATAATGTCACATTAAAAAAAAAGAAAAAAAAAGATTGTAGGGTTGCTTATTCATCACAGTTTGAAAGCCAAGACAACAAAAAATGGCTCTTTAACTAAACCTGTACAAGAAGTGTCATTTATTTTAGTCAACTGTTGCTAGCTTACTGCAAACTCTTGCATATCTTGACTTGGTACAATGAGGCAATTTAAATTGCGAGTGCCAGTGGCTACATTTTTCAGAACGCTACAGAGAAAACCTGGAGAAAAAATTAAAGTGTCATCAAGAATATCCTTAGGGTGACATCTTTTATCCATTTTTGAGGCAGTATCCTCAGGCTAGGCCAACATGCTTCAGGCAATGACAGGGAACATGCACAGTGTGGGAATAAAAGAGAAGGAAGAAGGAAAATTCGTGGGCTAACTCTTACCTACACAGTCATAATGGCCACTGATGTATTTCAGCTCATAACCAAGCTGGCACTTGCAGTAGTAGCTTCCAAAGGTGTTGACACATCTGCGGTTGTAAGAGCAGAGAGCTTTGCCAGTGGAGCATTCGTCAATGTCTAGAGCAGAAGGGATGCTGGTCAGATCCATGAGAAGGTAAAATGGGAAAGCAAGAACTAATTGGGATTTGCGTGGGAATGGTTTGTTCTTGGCTATCACATGTTGTTTAATACATAACTCCTGTAATTTCATGCTTGGTGGTGGCTTTTGTCTTTTGCATGTGTTCTTCTGAATGAAACAGCAAAATGTGAACTAAGTTCATGGAAGATTTTGAGACCTGACATGATAAAATTTAGGGTAACTGGCAGTGTGGATTCTCCTGCACTGGGGACAATGATTTGCCCTAAGGTCTTGGAGCAGGCTCAGGAGGAAGTACACAAATTCCTTTATTTCCCAAAGAATGGAAATGTCAGAGAACAGTTTAAGAGAAAGTTCCAGGAACAGGAAATTGAGAGCAGCAGCAGCAGCTCTTCTACTGAACCTCTGCACCTCCCCTTGCTGGGCTAAGGCAAGACGTAACAGTTTCCAGACTGTGAGTGGTCTGTCCAGGAAGGCAGATGACAGGGACAATGAAGAAGGAAGCCTGTTATGGGAGGAGCCTAAGAACATGATAGTCAAAAACCATTGTAATTTAATGCTACTAATTTAAATTTGTTTTGTTGCAACATCAAATTTAAAATACTGACAGTTATGGTATTTGTCATTCCCTATCACATTTTAGCACATAGTAGTGACTTTGAATGTAATTCATCTTGCCACACTGCTGCCCTTTATGGCTTAGAACTGCTGTGATGCACTGCTGGACACCACGGTCAGTCATTTTATAATTTCTACCATTTGTTTCCATGCTTAGGTGATCAAAGGGAGGTGGACAACAATAGAAAAATATTTAAACAAACCTGTGCAGCTTTCTGAAGACAAAACATTGTATTTAATGGCCTCATAGCAATAAGGAGAAACTGAATCTGTTGATGACTCTAAATCATGTCAAAACATTTAATTAATTATCGCAGATGAGACTTCTCAGAAGAATTACATGGCCAATAGTACAAGAACAGTTATTAAAAAAAAACCACACAACTTTACATCACACTGTGATTAACAAGAAGAATTATTCAATACAGCAAAGAGGATTAACTACTTCCTGACCTTTCCCCAGAATCTTTTGGTTTCAGGGATCCTACAGAAAAGAGAGTGAGCTCTCCAACCATACCAATGCATGTCCTTCCATTTGGTCCCAGCTGAAGGCCACCTGATGGACAGAGACACTGCACCTCCCCTTTGACTTCTTCACATCCGTATTGGCAATTCACCATGGCGCATGTCCTAGAACCTGAAAACAGCATTTAAAATTACAAAAGGAGCAAAATTCTAGGCTGGGATCACACACTTAAGTTAGATCTGGGTAAACACAGAAATTCTCCAGGACAACAAAATTCCATTCATTATAAATAAAGTTGTCTATACATTAGCTTATTAAAAATTCTGGAGTCCATGGGATAGATCTTACACTTGGATCTACTTTGTTCTTTCCCTATCAGCCCTTATTCCTCTCTTTTTTGCTGATCCCAGTTCTGAGACTTTTTAATATCACCCTTTAGACTCAGAGAGAGAAATGGAAGGAAGAAATATCCATTTCTCAGGGATCTCAAGGCCCTGCAGCTGCTATCTGCCAGTAATACACACCATGGTTAGTAATGCAGTGGCATGAACCTGAGCTGTGATGTATAGATGGGAAATCCTCCAGAAGCTCTGGCCTCTGGGCACCTTTTGTGGCAATTTCAGTCTCCCTGCCATAAGTGAGAGAGAGTAGGAGCTCTGGATTTCAGACCTATTCTGCAGCTGCAGACCCTGCACTCCTGTAAGTATTTGCCAAGGCTGGGTACTTTTACAATTATTCTGACTGACTTGCCAGATGGGCACCCTGTCTGGTGAATGGTTTTCTCCAAGATTTGGAGATCAAAGACTTTCTGAATTTATTGTTTTCTCTCATATTCATGTGAAAGACTGTGCTGTACCCCATACAGCCAGGTCCTTTGGTTTAGAATAGAGTTAAACAGATTGTTCCACTGCTCAGAAGAACTGTCTTCCTTGTCCAGCTGATGGATCTGCTCCAGTCCAGTGAACTCTATAAAGGCCTGTCACCATGTTACCTGGGTTTTGTGAAATTCAAAGCCAAAATACCTGTATGGAACTGCTCAGGTGAAGGAAAAAAAGGTAGTTTCTACAAACAAAACTCTGTGATTGAAAAACAAGATGCTTCCTCAGGGCTGAAAATCAGGTTGGCTAAAAAAGTAGAATGCTTTCCATTTCATGGTGGCTTAAAGACAAAGAAGATAGGTAGAAATATCTATTTTCCCCAAAATTTAGATAAGTCTCAGCTCAATGAACAAATGTTTGCAAGAAGCTGGCAGCAGCTATGAGAGGAATATCAACACAGATAAAATAAATCAGTCATGGAGACACAGAAAGATAAAGCAAAGAATAATGGCATGTAAAAAGTAGCCTGTATTGGTGCTTTGCTTGGATAGATTCATTTACCCTTATTCAGCAGGTGAACTGGCAGGACTATGCACCAAGATTGTACTAGCTGTCCTTCATCTGAAGTAGAACTATCAATGATTTTTAATTCTAGCAGGATTAAAACTCATCTGAACACCCAAATACAAGTATGATCTAGTTTACTTTATCCAGAAACTACCAAATAGAAAAGTCTCTTTCAGCTGCAGCAGTACCAGAGAGCTGGGGTAAAACCCCTCTCCTGAATAAGCTAAATCTGTTCATCGCAAGAAGGAAATCTGCTGGGATTAAATGTGATTAGATGATTTTGCTGTGCCTGTTCCATGAGCTCTATTACTTACTTGCACATGTGCCATCTGGCAGAAGCATGTACCCGTTGAGACAATAGCACTTGTAGCTGCCATGTGTATTCATACATCTGTGCTCACAAGGACGTGGCTTCAGTCCACATTCATTCAGATCTGCAGAAGTCATTGGAATTAAGTGAGTGCTGGGTTTTCTATACATATATTCATACATATAGGTGGATAATATTGCCTAATGCATTGGGTTCCCCAGAGTAAAATCGTTTGGATGGAAAATGAGCCCGCCCCTTGCAAAATGAGAGTTTAGCAGACCATCTGGCTGAAAGACTGCTAGTAAAACCAACATACATGGACTTACACACTTGAAAAACTAAAGCAAACTCTGGCCACATCTGGCAGCTTGTTAGGAAGAAGTGGAGTGGTGGAGAGAGAATTTAGTTACTCTCTTTTTGTGAGTTATTTGTCTGGATTTCCCTGATTCTAGTTGGAGATTTTAGCCCTCCAGCTGACCTCTATAGTAGAAAGGCAAAAATGAGACTGAGAACCGCAAATGAGTTTAAGTGAAACAAAGACTTTTACTTTTGTTTTTCTGAGCTACACATTGGTACCAAGGTTATCAGTAGTAGAAATTAAATACAATATATGATAAGAATTATGTGACTTTAAAAATAAAAGGCCCAATCTCAAAAATCTTAAAATCCTGAGAATAAAAGCATCCTAAATCTTTCTCAAAATCCAGGATGTAAAGGCTTTGCAGAAACTAACTCAATTTCAAATTTCCAATAGCTGTTCTTCACAGGGAGAAAATGAGAATTCTAAAAAAGTTTAATTTCTTTGGTATAGGGTGAGCAGTATTCACAATGATATTTGGCCTATGACAAGGGGACAAAAATCTCTGTTTGTGACTTCTGTGAACTGACATCTCTACCTCTTCTAATGATGAGTAAACAGACGGAATGCATTAACAGAATGCACCAGCATATGCAGCCCTTTCAAGTGCTTAACAGAACATACGACCATAATTATACATTCAGTAAAGATGCAGCTCTCCAGGCAAGGACTGAGTTTGTGTAGCTCCATTTCTAATGGGAGAAGCATCTGTTCTCATGCCTATGTACCCTGCAGACCACAGGGTCAACCATTCAAAGCAAAAACTTTGTGGAAGTGCAGATGTGTTTGTTACAGCTCAGTCCAGGGAAGAAAGAGATTTTCTATTTCTAAAAGGCATTCTATTATTTAAATGTAGAGTGTGTTTGAAAAAGTACAACCTATCTGCTAGCAAATCACACTGGATTTTTGTGTTACTGTGGCTCCACTAAATAACCAAGACCCTTTTAACAAAGTAATTAGGGAGCAAACTGGAGAACAAAAGTTATTCCACTTAGACCATACATTTTCAAAAGTGCTTATCTGCACCTATCTCTGATAGCATAACAATGCACTGATAGCATACACAGCTCTAAAAAAGAACCTATGGAGATAAAGCTAATTTGGCTCAGACTCGGTGGCAGACTAATACAGTCCCCTTATCTCTGTTATTTTAGTTAGCTCATGTTGAGCTTGCTCAGCAGGGCATTCTGTGTAAGGACAGACCAAAGCAACATCTCCAGTAAATTAAAAGTAGATATGACCATTCCTGGCTGCTGGAACATGACCACCTATGTGGCTATACTGTTGAAACAGCTCTTGGACACTTCTGGGCTGTGCCAGCCATCACTTTACTGAAAAAATCCTGGCTGCGTTTCAGAAGGCAGAAGAGCCCAGGGACTAAGAGGCGATTTGCACATGTGGGCCTGTGTGGTGCTGCCACCGTGCCTCAGACTCTGAACCTATTGCAAGTGGCACCAAACAGGATCTGATTGCCTACAGAGGGCATTTCAAATGCAGATGGAGTCACTGCACAGAGAACATCTAAAAACTGTTGCTTTCTGGTAACATTTCAGCTGCCAAAAATTTTTGAAGTTAAACTTCTGGGTTTAAAGGTGGAAGTTGTAAGTAATGCCTACATATCTGTTACATATAACCACAGCTGCTGTTTCCCTTTCCTCTCTAGTGGTACTGAGGAATTAAGTTCTTTCCCTGTGAAAAACATCAAAAGTGCAAAAGATGGAGTTTTCTAAACTACTTAACAATGTAGCTTTATGGTATATTTTTTGAAAGATACTATGTAACAAATGGGTTGTTTTGACTATTAAAAAAACGGCTTTTTAGCACATCAATGCAAAATTTTCTAGCAAAGGCTGCAGGAGCTTGGTAAGGTAGCAAGGACAGACCGGTCCCTTTGTGTTGTCTTTATGTCATGCTTCCATCATAGCACCTGCAGTTCACTCATCTGTGCTGCAGTAGGATGGACCTACTCCTTTCGTCTGATCCATCACAAGGGTCTCATATATTGGAACAGGAAAAAAATAATTGAGTTCTTACCAATGTGTTAGCTGAAATATTTCTATGTTGAATTGCAAGTTTATGGAGGGAAAGTGGTGCATTTAAAGTTTCTGAAAATGCAATTATAAAGACTCCCAATTCTGGTTCTCAGAAATACCATTCAGCATTTGCAAACAGCCCAGGCAGCTTGATAAATTACATGTCTAGCATATAATTGCATGTCTTTCTGATTAGAAAGTTAGTTAGAAAAGAAACATGGATTGCTAGTTGAGAAAATAACATGGGTTCTGGAATTGACTGCCATCTCTTCTGATGATTTCCTATATAATCTTTCTATGCCTTAATCCTCTGACTATAAACATGACAGTTTGCCCTTGTCATCAGCCCATAGGACATACACAATATAGGTTCAAACTTCAGTTTGCTGAAGGAGACTTAAGGCTCTTACATCTCCAGCATCCCAGGCAAGCTCTAAGTTCTTAAGTTCTACATAAACATGAAAATCTCCTGGTTTACTATTTTGAAAGATGACACAAACCATAGTATAAGATAAGAAGACAGAAAGTTAACAATCTGCTTTCTGGAGCATGTGCACTAACCTTGATTACAGGTTTTCCCTGTAAATCCAGGAAAACATTTGCATTTGTTTGGTCCCATGCACTCGCCATACTTGCAACCGTGTCCACAGGTAGCTGGTGGAGTCAGGCAGAGAAAGGAGAGAGAAAAAGTTAGAAATATTCTATTTGAAAACTTTTGCCCTGCTTAGTTGCCTAAAAACCTTTTACATAAGTTCAGTATCCTCCATACCTCTCCCTCTGTTTTTTAGCAGTTTTGTAAAGACCTGGAAAAGTAGGGATTACTTTTAGGTCTCACCCTCATATTTTTTCTTCCATGCTTACAACTCACATTTAGTAATTTTGTACTCTTGCATTTTTCCTGTTTTTAAGAAGCCTATGTGAGAAGCAGCTGGTCAGCAGCTTGACTTGCTAGGCTTGTCATCTGAGTAGGAAAGCAGCAACAGACTCTCTTGCAGCCAAAGGAGACACCTTATCCTACAGCAGTTTTACAGTCTTGGACATTCTCAGTTACAGCTGAGGAACATGTATATTCCATGGTGGAACATCCAGAGCACATCTGTCATGAGGCAACTGTCCTTACTACACATCCCAATAAGTATAATTGCATCTGGTTTGCAATAATTTGAGAGGACTATGCTTAACCTGGATGAATTAAAAAGTAAAATTTTCTAACTCTCAGTCCTCTAGATCATCAATCAGAAACTAAACTGACTATTATAAGGCTTAGAGGGCTCTTAAAGTTAATATGATTGTCAACATGGGGGTTATTCAAGAAGAGCATTTAAATAATTTAAATGCATTTAAATATTTAAATAATTAAATGCATTTAAATCAGGACTAGCTCTGTAAAAACAATGAAGAAGTAAGCACCAGAATGCACATCTCGATACCTTTTGTAATTAAGCTGATCTGCAAACTGTAGGAAAGTCACAGTGTTAATTACTATATAGCGAAATGAATAATTAAAATTCATACTTCTGAATTCAAGTATCTTCCCTACCTTTACAGAAGCATTCAGATGTACTGATCCACTAACTCTACAGACTGAGGCATTTTTCAGCACTAGTTCTATCCCTGAAGGCAACGTGGCACACTGCAAGACCAGCTTGTTCCCCTGGGATCCCATGCATCCTTGCTTGGCATGGTCTCCCATGGGATGGACACATTCCTCAGCTGCAACTGAGGAGATCCAAGACTGGAAAAGACCAGCTTGCAGTGCTAACACTGAAGCAGAGAACACTGCATCTGGATTTACAATACAGAATTACATTATAGGTGGCTTAAAGTAATTTGTCAGAGAAGAGTCTTCAAAGTTTATGAAAACCTATTGCTTTAAAACAAGACAGCCTACTCCACTGGCTGATCAGAGCTGTATTTGTCACTTGTCCCTCAATTTATTCATTTGCATCAAAACTAAGGTGTTATTAAGCCATGCAGAGATATGAAAATAATCCTTTTTTCTTTTTTAAAATGACATTATATATATAAAGCAGAGACATTTTATGATTTTCAGCAATGAATAACCCTAAGCCTCTATACAAATTCACCACATACAAAATGCCAAACCCTCTGGGACAACAGGTGCAATGTCTGAAAAAGATTTCTAAAACATGTATTTTATGATTTTGTTGTATTTTGCCCAAGTACAGTTGAAAAGAAAGATTCCACATTGCCTTCTCCTTGGGATCTGTAGACTTTTTACAAATTAGAAATGTCTTAAGAGCCATTGTCTCTTCACTGAGCCAGGATGCTGACCATCCACAGACCAGGATGCTGACTGGCTACCCCAGCCTAAGTCAGGTGCACCTATTGCTTGAGTTTTATTTATATTTTCAGAAAGTTAAAACCTCCTGGTTCTCAGAGGCTGTGTACTCTGAAGATAAAGGATACCAACTGATAGAAAACTATTTTAGGGTCCTTATGTAGCATTGGAAACCACTGTGATTTTGGTGCATGCTCAACGGCTGTGACAGTACCAAGTACGCAGCCACGGAGAGGAAAAAGCATAAAATTGATGTTACCTTCACAGTGGCCCTTGTTCTTTTTCCAGCCATAACAGCAATCCAACCTGGAACCATAGCGACACACCCCAGGCTGGCTCACAGCCACCAGCTGCCCACCAGCTCTCAAGCTGTGTAAGGAAGGACAAACACCAGCTTCATCAGCCAAATGCACTTTAGTTCATTCCTCTGCATACTCCATTGCCCATTTCCCTTATGTTTTATCCCCTGTCAGGCATTTTCAATTCATGAAAACTAAGGCAGTGTTCCTAGACAGGAATGCAAAGTCCCATTTGATTGGAGAAACAGGGGAGATGGGAATGATTCACCTGCAATAAATTAACTGTGCAACATAAACCCTTTCTAATAAGAAACATGGCAAAGGCAAAAAATACAGGCAGGTCTCCTGCTAGAATGAGTCATTTTTAATATCACTGAAGTCAATGGGGCTGCCTCAGTTTGTGCCACGTGAACAACCTGGATCCAATATACAATGCCACACCTGACCGCAATTTTGCATTGGATGATGAAATACTGATTCTACAGAAATGCATGTCCTGAAGATCAGGCAGCCCCATAGAGGATAGTGACTTTCAGGCTCATAGTCACTGCATACATGCAAATTGATTGCATAAGTGCAGTCTTGAGCATTCTGGTTGCACGAAACTGCCTGACCATAGTGTTAATTTCACCTACCAATAAACCCAGGGGGTTCAAAGTCACTGCAGATTAACAACTGCAAGAGTTGGAAAACCTGCCATGTTAGCTGCCAAAATTATAAATCTGATGCAATTCCACAACTGTGTAAATCTTCTGGACCTACTCTGTGCTGCAACTAGTACTGTGGCTTTAGTTGCCTTCTCCCTCTGTTTGCTGTTATTAAGTTCTTCAATACCACATGCCTGTCTCCTTCATAAAATTATTTTCTTTATCCAAAATCCTCTGTCCCCACTGCTTTTTCCAATCCATAATTTAAAATGTGCATTCTTCAAAAAGTCCAAAGTGTTGGTTTTGACACAGAGTACACCTTATTGGTGGTAGCTTCATAGTAAGTGATTTGAGGTACTGAGGGGGCAATACACAACAAAAAGTAATCAGGCATGGAATTTTGTATTTTTTAGTCTGAGGTACAGTAAAGACATTGCTTTATCACATTACAGCAGCGCTTTGCACTTCTCCTGTGGTTACCTATAAGGGTTGCACTTAGAACAGTTACTGTAAACATCACTGAGGTAAACTAATAAAACAGCTATATGCATACACTTCAAAGATACAATATGTTACACCAGCGTTTTCTTTAGTAGCGGAACCACTGGAAAGAGAAGGGAGCTCAGAGGAAATGCATAAGCTCATGTACTGGAGATACTCTGAATGAAGAGATGGTCTTCATATCACTGGGCAAGTAAAAAAGCCTCAGTGTTGGACTGAGTTGTTCTGAAGTCACCCAACCTTTGCCATCAACCCAGTGATGTAGTTTACAGGAGTACATGTACCTCATCTTCAGGCAGGTGAAAAAGTGTATTGAACAGCTATAACTCCTCTGTGTGCATCTGTGAGAAATCAACACCCTGCCTCTGCATCTATAGACAATAAAATAACTTTTTTCCATTTTGTTCATCCAAATGCTGCTGGCTTAAATCACTTGCAAGTATACAAGTTAAAGAGCATATGTTATGTTTGCAGGCTAGAAAGTGCCCTTGAATTTACCTGGATAGTAAATGTACATTCCACTTCCATCTCAGAAAATCCCCTTAAATGCATCTGGATAGTGCTATGACTCCGCTGAAAGGTTAAAATGCCTAAAGCTTGGAGGAAGAAGGATCTCATTCCTTTCCAAAAGGTGCTCATTTTCACAGGAAAAAATTCATTCAGTAACATTTTATTTATTAATTCACTTCAAAATCAAATGACAGTGTCTTTACCAAATATGCAATATATCTCAAGATTTCATTACAAACTTCTCTTAAAACTGGAAGCGTTTCCTAAAACTGCAGATGAAATTAACATAACTGTACTCTATAGATACTGCCCTGGAAAAGGTCTTTCTCGTGTTCTGATTTCCACACTAAGCACCAAGTTAAAACTTACCTTTGGCAGCGGGGAAGATCAACTAGACTATTGAGAGCCCACCTGGATCCCAAAATCTGGGAGGAAAACCAGTTTTGCCAGCTTGGGCCCTCTGACCCATGAAGACTCAATATCCACCAGCTCTGCCATTGCTGTCAGGAGTTCAGCATTTTGTGCAAAAGAAATAAATTTAGAAAGAGGAGATCCTTTCAGGCAGGCAGATCCTTTCTGGGAGAAAGGATCCAGAACCTTTCTGGATATTGTGGGAGAAGTAATGCAGACTGGAAGCAGTATGATACTCCTGTAGGATTTCAGAGGCCTGAGTGTGATGGCTGGGCTTGCCACTGTCTGCTCAGTGTGCAAAACATTCCTGGCCTTGAAGAACCTGCAGCCCAAATGCACAACTCAGGAAGAAGGGCAAGAGAAGGTAGACTGTGCAAGTCAGTGGCAAGAGTGGTCTCCGAATTTCTAGCAAAGAACTCTGTCCTCTGAGAGTCTGTAGCTTACAGCACTGGTGCTAAAGGTAACAAGTGGCATACTTAGCTGTCCAGAGTGCCTAGGCAGGAGAGATTTTGTATGGCTCTGTTACTGCTGACATCAGTAGGGTGGTATTTAGCAAAGAACAGTGAAGATGAATAGCAACTACTGCAGCCCAAGGCCTCCTTAGTTGAGGTGACAGAAAGAAAGAGCTGCCTGCATTAGTTATCACAAGATTGCTGTGAGCCACTAGCACCATCATAAATTAAGTGGGACCTTCAGGTGTTCCAGTTAAAATTCTAGGAGAGGTTTACTGCTACTGGACCAGGCTGTATTGTTGTGGTTTAGCAATGGTACTCCCCAGTTCAGTGCCCCCTCCGAGACTCTCCAAACCTGTTTTCTCCTCCTGCTTCCCACTGCAGTGGGATGGAATTGAGAATTGGAGGCACAAAAGGTAAAGATCTCAGGCTGAGACAAGAACTATTTACTGGAAACAGCAATGAGATAAGAAAAAAAAAAGTAACAACAACAATACTAATGACAGAGGGTATAAGAAAAGAAGCTATGCACATGAAAACCACCTCCAACATGAGATGGCTCCTTGTGCAATGTTTTCTTGACTGGAAGGAACCCCTCCTCTCTGGAAGACAGTCCCCTTCCTACACCCCCAGCAATGATGTGAGGTGGTATAGAATAACATCCATGTCCTGGTCTTGCCCCCTCCTGGTTACTAGCAAATATTAACCCTGTCCTTGCTGGAATCAGGATGATTGTGTACAGTTCTTAACATCCATGGTGAAGAAATTTGAATTATGTATGGTGTATTTGATAATAAAAGCTATGAAGAATTACCTGTTTACAGAGGATGATAAGAACTTGTATTCAGTTGAACAAACCAAAAGCTGAGAGAGGAATCTAATTGCTTCCTACTGCATGCCAGGCATCTCCAAACAAGACAGAGAAGAGCTCATTAAGATAAAGACCAGTTATAACCATTTACTATTATGCTACCATCCTTTAATACTCTGAGGGGAAAACATGAACATGAACGTCACAAGAAAGGTGAGAGTCCTGAAGAGCTTTGAAGAACCAGGAGAAAAACTGCACCCTAAATTTAAGATACGTGGCCTCTTTCACAGACTGAGTAAGACCTAACCTTGCTTGTAAGGACACAAACATAGGTATGAATGAAGTTGTTCCTCTTTGAAGTAATATGAAGATTATAAATCCTATCCCCCCAAAAAATCAGACCAATTCAGAGCAAAACCTCTAGATACCGGCCAGGATCAAGTAAGTATGTAACTTAATTCCTACAGTGGTGTGAGGAGTAGACCTTTCAGCAGAGCAAAGTTGATTTATAGGGTAGGACTGATATCACTGATACCCCCAATAGCTTAAATACATACTCAATTGCAAAGAAAAATATTAAAAGTGCAATAAAGGGTGAAAATGGGGGAGTAAAGCACACCTAAATATTGGGACTTACTTGTCCAACAGAATCTTCCTTCTACTCCTACCCCTCTTTATTGTGGTTTCATTCCATAAAATAAAGGAATAGTTTTACATTGCATAATTTTCTCAAAATTAGTTTATGGTCAAATCCAAGCTACTAAAAAGGTCTGGATACCAATGAGCAGTCAAAATTTCAAATCTAATTACTGGGCTGTTAAATGTGCTGGACCACAAACTTCATTACCAGCCGTTTAACCCATAACAGCTAAAATAAAAAGAAGTAAAAACCTCAACAGTGAACAAAAGATACTTGTCATGTTCTCCTGATCAGTGATCATTTACAGTGTAAGGCCTGCCTGAACTGAGTGATGTGACAGTAGCAGTTGCAGAGGATAAGCAAGCAAATCTGCAAAAGCCTCATTTAATCAGGTAGACAGATAACAAAGTTAGTTTGAGTTAATATAGTCCTGTTAATATTGCCTTTTACTAAAGTTTTATCTGGGAAGGAGCATTTATGAGTTTTTATTTATTTATTTATTTATTTACCAGCTGCTGAATAGATTAATGCACTGTTTCCATAAGACCTCTACAGAACACTTTTGGTTAGCTCTTGTGCACACAGTAGCTGCCTGCATTATTAGCAGCTTCCAGTTAACTTAAAGGCAGGATGTGATCCCTTTCTTTAATGTTACTCTAAAAATATTTCTGGGCATTGTTGCTAGCAAAAACTAGCACCAAACCTAAAATTTTGATCAACTGTTATATTCAGAAGGACAAAAAGATGGCATTTCATAAATTAGCAATTTGAAAGAAATGCCTTAAAACTCTTAGTGTGTGCAATACAGAGGTAATATTTGAACGCTGTGCAAAATGAAGGCATGAGGTGTTTTCTCTGTGTTGCTTGTTTGGTTGGGTTTTTGGAGTTTTGTTGGTTTGTCTGTTTTCACAAAAGTTTATTTGAAGAGTGACGTCCTTCTAGGAAAAAAAGTTCACCTATATTCATATTAAATAAAATGAATAGTGTGTCACCTAATATCTTTTAATAACTGTGTCTTAGATAACCCTTCAGTCAGTTTCAGGCACTCAACATGACAACAGTCTTGCTTCACTGCGAGTCCCTCCAGAAAGAATAAATGCAGTTTAGATTTGGCTTGCAGAATTTTCTTCTTTAAGGATTCATGTGCCCACCAAACTCATTAAAACAAGTGCTTAGAGCAAAGAAATTAAATGTCCAGGTATGAAAGCTACACTTCTGAGAGACATAAATAATCATAATTAAATCAGGCTTTCAAAACTGAATCTGATTTTTACTATTTCCTGTTCCTTCTTCATAACCATTCAGGGGCAGATAGGATACTCTTAAATTAGGATCCATGTCATCCAAAACTTCCATCAATATGTTTGAAAATCTTTTTTTTTTCTACTTTCTTCCAATGGAAATGGCAGAGTGACATTCTTGGTAGAATAGTGAGATACCATCACCACCCAACACCAACTTGGACAGGGCAGGCTATAGAGCAATAAGTCATAGGCAGGTTGTACATTTCCCATAGGTTTCTTGACTTAATGTGAAATAATATAATTTTTATCAAACATATCACTCTTGGCTTTAGTTAACTCCAGACCATACTTTCTTCTAGAAAGAGATAACATCCTTATTTTGCAGCTTTACATCTTTCTAAGTAATTGGAATGCAAATACACATCAGAAAGACTAACAAATGCAAGCATTTAAACAGAGCTCTGCTTTGAGAGCAAATGTGTTTTCTCTAAGATATACGAGCAGGTCTGGAGTTTACAAACTTCCAGTTACTGGGGAACTGACCACTCAACAGGCCCACATGTGCTGGAACAGCAGAGTGTCACTTGCTGATGACAAACGTTCCCATTCACAAATCTGATACTAAATAAATAAAGCACACAACATCTTGAAGGCTTCACCCGCAGTTGCTGTGAATTTCCCCTTTTCGAGCTACTCCCTTGCTGCAGCACTTGCTTCTGGAGAACTGGGAGGGGGAACACTGCAATGGCTTGATTAGGAGTAAATGGTTTTATTGATCCTCTCTCAAAATCTCATTCAGTTTCCAGAGCGTACCTGTCTCTGAAGAACCTAAAACCTTGTGAGGGTGGGATGATGGTAAAGTGCCTGTTTATCCAGGCAGACCAAGAACTGGAGCAGCTCACACCTTTCTATAGGTGGTGCAGCTGTTCCCACCGTTCGGACCGTCACTGACGCTGCCGTTTTTCCCAGGGCAGAAGAGCCCCAGCACTGGTGAGCCCCTCGGGGAAGGGGCGCACACGCCGCGGGAGCGCCCGAGCCGGGCGGGTTCAGCACCACGGCCCCGGGGACCGGCCGGGGGAGCCCAGCGGGCACGGGCGCGGGACGGACTTGTCAACACCCGCACTGCGGAGCAGGACCCAGCCCCAGCCTGGTCAGACCCCTGACCCCTCCGGCCCCCTCCCCGCCCGCCGTCCCCGCTCACCTGCCCGCGGCGGCCAGCCCGGCGGCGAGCAGGGCGGCGAGCAGGGCGCTCCCGGCCGCCGGCACCATCACCGGGGCGCGGGCGGCCCCCGGCGGTGTCTGTGTGTCCCTCGCTGGCAGGGCAGCAGCGCCGGAGCGCGGGCGGGCGGCGGGACGGGGCTCTATAACCGGGCGGGGCGGGGCGGACCCGCCTCCGGCTTCGCTCCCCCCGCATCCCTGGACGGGGCGGGCAGGGACCCCCGGCGGGGCCGGGCGCGGAGTCACGGCGGTGACCCCCTGGGATAGCCGTGCCGCTCCGGCCCGACACCAGCCGCTGCTGCAGGCTCACCCCGTTCCGCACCCTTGGCACCGTTGCGATGGGCTTCTGTCACCGGGAAACGGCATTTGCGTTGAAAGGTTTCCAGGCTTTGCCTTTCAGTCGCAGGACCATCCCTGACCAAACTTTGTTTCAGCCGCTAAGGAAAGTGCTTGGATATAAGGACAAAGTTCTTAACTAAAAGGGTGGCCAGGAATCGGAACAGTCTGTCCAGTGGAATCGCTGTCCCTGGAAGTCTTTGAAAACCTTTAGGTGTGGTGCCTGGGGACATGGTTTACTGGTGGATTTGGCAGTGTCAGGTTAAAGGTTGGAGTCAATGATCTTGGAGTCTTTTCCAGCCTAAACGATTCTACTATTCTAAGTTGTTATTTAAGCTGCGTATGCTCACTGGTGACATTCTTTCTTGATAGCTAGTCCTTCGGCTTTGGTGCTGCTGCCACTGCACGTAAACTGCCTCACCCATGATATATCCTCCTAGGATAATGCTTGCACTTTGGGAGTGCTGGGTTTTGTGCTAGGGTTCTTCTCAAGATTAACTAATATCTCTATCTTTTTGCAGTGATGTTTAAACTGTGACTGATGTTTGCCAGCAAATTAAAAATGTTTCAGTGCAAAAGTGGTAAGATATGTTCTGCCTGTGTTGAAGTTACAGATGTTCCCCCAAAGTAGGTTCAAGTCACCTTGTAGAGTGGACCAGAGGTACCAAAAGATGGCAAATTTAGTCCCACGATTCAAATGACATAAAATTAAAATTAATCTTATTAAAAGAAACATGTGCAGTGCTGATTGTGTGTTGTGCAGGATGGTAGAGACACTTGGTAGAGACACTTGTTTCTTTCCTGGACTCTGGATGCAAAAGCCATTGCTGGTTTTCAGCTGTTCTGCTGTCTTTCTGAAATGCAGTAGTACCTTGAGACTCTCTAACTTTCTTCATTAGACTTGTCTTCCTGTATGGGAGGAGTAGTCTTTTGATTTTAGCTAAGTCAGTGCCATGTAGAAAGCATTCTAAATACTTAAAACTATATTAAAAAATTTGCAGTTTTATTATGCACATTTATTCCAGCAAATAGATATGAATGAATCATTTGATGCTGGGCTTGCCATTAAAATACTGATCAGTGTTCAAGAGAAGTTTTATTCCTTTTTATCTGAATCATCAAAAAAAAAAAAAAAACAGGTCAGCACACGGAAAGAGAATGAAAAAAGTCAGGATTTAACCAGGTAGGGCTGGACTGAACTTATCGTGGGTCCATAGTTACTACATTTCAGCTTTTGCTATTTCTGCTTAGAGATTTCTGTTTTACCTAGATTCTCAAAATATATCCTCATTTCTTCTCCTCAAGCATCTCAGTTCTGGCATGCTCAGTAACAATGCAGAAGCAGCTTGGTGTGGAAGCACAGACTGTAACCCATTTAATGGGTGTGACTTCATAGAGCTAACTGAGGAAGGAGACTGTAGCAATCTGAAATTCATAGGTCTGACATTTGACCTAATTTTTAAAAACTCTGAATTCCTTTGATTAAATTAAACAGTTATAGGGATTTTCATGAAAATCAATAGTGACACAACCCTGTTATTACTTTTCACTGTTGCCATTTAACATTTCAGTTGCCGTACTGCTTAAAACTCACAGTCACCTCTTGGGTGTTTTATAGACTCTGTTATAGGAAGTACTCTTTATCTTATCCATAGCAATTAAAAAGTTTAAATTATAAGACATACTTAATCTCAATAATAAATCTTCTTTTTCTCTGAAGAGAATTAAACTTTCTCTTCAGATAAGAGGTTTGGAAAACTGTTTTAAAAATTCATAATCACCTGACATTTTAGGGAAATTGTCAGTGGTCCTGAGGCATCTGGAATTACAGGAGTGAGAACTGGGCAGCTGGGCTCTGCACTTACATGAAAAAGCCAAGGGTCTAAAGACTTTTGTCTGCCTTCATTTTTCTAGATGTTACCAATGTCTGTAAGTATCTGAAGGGAGGGTGTCAAGAGGATGGAGCAAGGCTCTTTTCAGTGATGCTGAGCAATAGGACAAGAGGCAACTGGCAGGAACTGATGCACAGGAAGTTCCACCTGAACATGAGGAAAAACTTCTTTACTGTGCAGGTGATCGAGCACCAGAACAGATGGCCCAGAGAGGTTGTGGAGTCTCCCTCACCAGAGATACTCAAGAGCTGCCTGGATGCAACTCTGTGCCATGTGCTGGAGGATGAGCCTGCTTGATGGGCCTGGAGGTTGGACCATGGTGACCCACTGTGGTCCCTTCTAACCTGACCTGTTCTGTGATTCTGTGATTCTGTGATTCTGTGGTTCTGTGGTTCTGCGGTGCTGTGACTGTATCTAGCTTGAGAGCTGATATGTTTTTGCCAGCCAGGATGCAGAGCTGCTTTGTAGAATTCATCAAGCCTTCTCTGCACGTTAAAGTACTCAGTTTATAAAGCAGATATTTTCAGATGTTGTTGAAGTTATTTGTAGACTGAATGGTTCTGTGATTGAATGAGGTTTTATACCTGTCAAAACAGTGAAATCCCTTTAGTCCAGTGAGGTAATTAGCTTATGTATAAAGATCATCTGCTACGTGCATGGCCATCTAAATAGCTTTGGATGGAAAGCTCTCCATAGCAGGGTAAGGCCAGTTTGAAAGTGACCAGAGACTGATTTTCCCATTCAAAGGTGAAATATTGGTTTTAGCCTTGTATTCTCAGCTGACAGACTGTTGTAGTCATGTAATGAGTTCAGGTTCTCTCTGTGTCTTAGTATTTGGAGCAGGTGTTGGTTTAAGATTCTAATTTTTCTTATGCTGCGAATATGAATTATTTAATCTTTAATTAGGAATCACAGAAGATTGATGAAGTTGAAACAGAAATACTTTAGTTAAAGCATTTACATTAAGCTATAGATAGAGTGAAAAACAACAGTGCACTAAAGACTGAAATATTGCTATAATAGAAATCCTGGCTATGTCCCTGTTTTTTTCTTTTTTTTTTTAGTTAGCTGAAGTTCTCATTTGTATTGCCAAGTAGTTTCAGATCAAGTCATTTTATAGGGTTTTCATGGAGTAAAATAAACAGAGGAATAAAAGCAAACCATTAATTTCTTCTCATGAATCATTCTATCAGTTTTAACAGACCATTTTGAAACACAATAAAAATTCATGAATGGGGTTTCTGAATTGGAATTGCTGAATAGAATCATGATTATAAAATCAATTGTGCTTTTATTTTTTTTTTTTTGGCTGGTTGAGTCTCTGAAATCATCCATAGAGTATTGCTTCAGGCTATTTTGGTAAACAAAATTCAAAGTTCAAATTCTTGCAGTTATTTAACTATGATCTGAGGTTTTAGGAAAACTATCAAATATCCAGAGGTTATGGGACATGTTAATATTGCTTCTCTGAGACCATGTGCACCAGGAAAAGTTGGCAGACTAGATTGTTAAAGGCAGAGCATCAGGAATTAACAAAACTCTGCTACTAGGAAAATTTAGTTGTAACCTCAACCTACTTGTCTATCTGAAGTTATGAAATATCCCCCAAAAGTGTTCTGTTTACATTCCTTTGATATTTGATAACATTTTTCAGATTGTTACCATGGTTAAACTCAATGCTGTGGTCCATGGGGCAACACTTGCTGTTTTCCCAGATACCCATAAGAAGGGTTCAGTATATCCAACTAAATTATGGTTTCTGTGAGAGAATCCTTAATTCTAGACAAAATTATTGCAAGCATAAAAGCTTAGTATTTAGGAAATGCTTTGTATTTTATTACATCTAAATAATTAAAAATCATACTTTCAGGCTGAGGGGGGACCTAACACAACATGGACAAGAGCCTGTTAAAATTACACCTTCAGGCTGTAGTTCACTTTTCTAAACATATAAGTAAGAGGTTTCACATTAGGTTTATATTCCATAGTCTGGAGTTCCAAGTGACGTTATAAATTTGTTTGGCAGTAGTAACTGAACTGAAGGATATGTATGCCTATTTGATGATTGGTTCAGGAAAACATGAAGAAGAACTCAGCAAAAGCTGACAAAGTTGTTCTTGGCAGCTAAGACAAAGGTCATTAAATGAAAAGAAGATAATATGGAACTGATAAAAAATCTGAGGGGATCCTAGATAAAAATATGCATGGAAATGTCTAGCCAAGGTTTTCTTTGTTGTATTTTGGTTCTTTGTCATGGATGTTCATTACTGGTTCCGTTGTGTCAGGTGTGCTTTTGAAGTCCATCTTAAGGTTTCAGCTAAAACCCACAAAATCCATTTTACAAGGTTTGCATGAAGCTGAGCATCCTAAACAGTCACGAAATTTACTTCCAAAGTCCAATTCTAATTTGAACTAAAATGCAGATACAGAAACACCATCTGTGAGTTCATTACGGGCAGTACTGGTATTACAATAAATAAATACTTGCTTCTTCTAGAAGAAATCTTTCCAAAGGGCCTTCTTCAAATCCTCAAGATTTTTATCTGTCTTTCTACACATGTTTTTATTTGACTCCTTTCATAAGCTCTTTCCTCTTCCCTAGACCTTAATTTTCAATGCTTAAAAATGTGGCTATATCACTTTTCCAAAAATAAGCCCCTCCTGATCTCTGCTCCTAAAAGAACTATTTTGTCACAAACACTTTGTGTAGAGAGTGCTTTCCCCTTCTAGCTATGAAGTGATATGTGAATGTTTTAAGTCTGTTTTCACTCTCTGTCACAAAACAGATAATATACAGGATGAGAAACTGTGTCCTGGAGGGCATGAGGCACAGCATCGCCAGCCGGTTGA